TTCTCGTTTCGCCAATTTTTTCAAACAGTAACTATTAAAAAAAAAAATGATAAATTAAAAATAATTTTTCCAATGTATTTCTGACAGGGGGGTGTAAGTGCACCCCCTTGCACCCTGCTGCCGGTGCCCATGTACGCAACCATATGTTAGTTTTGGTATTACAACTGCACTGTAGGCGCGAAGCTTGGTCTCAGCGCTGATTTCGTGATGAAAACTCTCTCTAGTAGTTGTCCGAACGCCGCGCTAGCACACTTCAAGCCATGTTGGATTCTAGCGTCAATGGTTGCATTCGCTGACAGATGGCTCCCAAGGGATGTGTAGTGCTCTACGTGCTGATGACCCTGGTCAGGATTAACTTCTCCACGAGCTTGGCAAAGGAGTTTAGAAGGGAGATTGGGCGGTAAGAAGATGGGAGGTTTTTTCCGGGTTTGGGGATCATAACCACCATGCTGCAGTTTTAGGATGGCTTTGGTTATGTAGTGTTAGTTTATTTTCTAGTTTAGTTTCCTATTATTATTATTATCCTATAATTTTTCTCGTTCTCAAATCAAAGAATTTATTTAGCGGAATCGTAGACGAAACATATTCCTTATCGCACTGTTACCAGGCGCCAGTAGGACCAAGTCTCTGGGGGTAGAAAGAAGGGCAAGACGTACCGCTCGTGGCAACCACGAAATGAGGTCAGTGGGCCTTACTTGGTTGTTGTGGCAAGTGGTAAGACGTGCCATATTAAAAAAAAAGATTTCAGTGGGAAGACGTTTCACTGGTTTTCTTTTACGACGCCACCTAGATAAGTGATTTAATTACGACGACGCATATTGTAGTATTGGTCTACCTATTGGATGTTAGTGCTTAAGTGTTTACGTCGATTGAGGCATTTGTTTATGCACTACGTATTTCATCTCGAAGTATCGCTTTCTTTTTCTTTTGTTCCACCCAGTTTCTATCAACTTTTGTTTGTAAATATACGTGCCTTTATTTTGTTTAAAACCGAGTTGGATTTTTATTATTCAGACCCTAGACGACGACGAGGAATAAAACAAAGAAAATTAGTATGTTTTCCTACAGTTATTTGTACCAATTGGACAATAACTTTACGCGGAAGATTTTTGAGGGCTCGATATGGGAAATGTTGCTTGGCCTGCGTAAGGCGACTTGCGTCCTCTATCACCAAGTGCCAACGTGCCGGAATGCGTGCGCGGTTACCCAGACCTGAATGAATAAAAATCCATCCTAGAGAGGATCCATTCGACAGGCATAGAGACCCCCAAAGGCATATTACTCATGGTAGTATAGAAAGGTACCGGATAAAGTATGGAATCATTATCACGAGAATAAATGGTCAGAGTCTGAGTCATGAGTGTAATTAAGAAATTTTTTGTTTAAACTCAAGTAAAAGCGATAAACTGATTAGCAAATTTTGTACAGTCAAATAGAACTTATGTTTGTAAGTAAAGTGAGTTTTTAGTGAAACCGTGGAATCCGTAGGTCGAATCTAGATAGAAGAACGCAGTAGTCCCTTATAGAAAATCGTAGCACCTCATTTAAAAATTAAATCCACATTGCTAATTAGCGGTACACGTTATAAACTTGACGTTGCAATTCCGTTACCGTTTGCGCCTGCCGTTGTGAACATAAAAATATAGGATTCCATAAGATCGTTTATATTCGCGGTCGGCCTCACCGTCCGCCGTTAGCTCTGCCGTTGCTTCCGTCAGACATAAACCAATTTTATCTTTTCCGTTGTCGACGTCTGTAGCAAGTCATGCTACAGTTTGAGAGAGCCACTCAAAACGGATTTTCACCAGTCATGTGATGTTTACTTCAAATGTCATCGAGCTGTGGTGGAAGAGGGGAGAGATTATTTTGATTTTTCGAATTTTAAATTTTGTTTGGGTTCATGTTATATTATCATCAATAATTAAACAATGGTAAATCACCACCAAATCTTCCAAATCACTCATAAAATGACAAAATGAGGGCACACGCACAAAAGAGGTTATGTTTATTATTTACTTTTTGAGAACGTCAAACGGCAAGTTTATAAATTGTCCAATTTTTGTGGCTGGTACGGCGGGGCTAACGGCGAGCCCGTCTGTAGGCGCAAACGGTAACGGAATCGTTACGTCAAGTTTATAAATGGGCCTTTAAACCTCAAGCTTGTAGTAGGTATTAAGGCTCTCCCAAACCAACGCGGAAAACAAATTATTGAATTAGTTCGAAAGTAGCCTCTACTATATGACCTTTCTCTTAACGACTATAAAAATGTGCGCAAAAAGGATGAGGTTTGGACCAAACTGGGAGAAGAACTAGGTCAAAATTAAACTCTTTTCTTCCACTGCAAGGAGCAATATTGCTTCTTCATCCGATGATGTATACATTTTTTTAGGCAAGAAAACAATATGTCTTTCTTTTTTAGCACTAGCACTAGCATTCAGCAAGCAAATTAGATACTGAAAACATGACGTAAATGATGCGAATATGTTCGCTTTGGTGTGAGACTTTCTCCGGAATCCACCATGAAATTCGCTGCGGATTCTCCGTCACGAATCCGCTGCGAATAATTCGCGTTGGTTTGGGAGAGCCTTTAATGCTCTCCCAAACCAACGCGGAAAATTCGCAACACCTACGAATATTCGCACCGCAGACGATTCGCAACAAATTGTTTTCACTGTGGTAAATAGACAAGTTCAAACTGGCGAGGTTTTTTCCGGTTTGGCTGCGATTTATCTGCGTTTTTATCCGCACGGAAACTCAGTTCGCAATCGACTGCGTTTTTGTTCCGATTTGCAGTAATTCCGCAATGTTATAAAGTGAACTATAATCAAAATGGAACAAATTATTGAATTAGTTCGAAAGTACCCTATACCATATGACCTTTCTCATGAAGACTATGAAAATGTGCGCAAAAAGCATAAGATTTGGACTAAACTAGGAGAAGAACTAGGCGAAAATGGTAATTTGAAACTTATTACGTTATTTATTCATGGGAAATAATCATTAAATGTTTTAGTAAAAATTTTAACTATATTAGTGCACGCGGGTCCATTCATCTATATTGTTTTCAATAATAAAAAAGCAAAAAGGATACTGAAAATATGAGGTAAATGATGCGATTATGTTCGCTTTGGTGTGAAACTTTCTCCGGAATTCGCCATGAAATTCGCTGCGGATTCTCCGTCACGAATCCGCTGCGAATAACTCTCGTTGGTTTGGGAGAGCCTTTACCTACTCATAGCTGCGAATCGCGAATTTTTATATTGCGGAAATGTTTCTATCATTGGTCGAAAATAGTTTTGCTGTCTCGAAAAAATCAATGACTAGAAACAATTCCGACATATAAAAAATCGCGTTTAACAATAAGTTATGAGTACCTATACTTACTAGTATAGGCTTGATACATATTTCTTGCAGTAAAATGAATACTTATAACCCTATAACGAAAATCCCGACCCATATTACATGCTTATTGTAATGGAATAACCAGAAATTCTGTCTCCAACTCAGTTTGAAAAGTTTCCGCCGCGTCGTGGTATTTTACGCGAAATAATAATCTGCTTTCTCTTACTCAAAGACGCTCGGAATGGCTGACTTCCTTCCGCAGATTTCTGAAAGTACATAATTGACTCGAAGCCGGTTGACTTTGGATTTCCTTTTTATGGACCTGTGGATTTGTGGCGCTCCCTTTTTTGTCTCGTCTCCCCCTATACAAAGAACATGGGGTTAATCTGATGATAAAGAAGCGAGAACTCTAAGTTGATGTTTTATTTATATTGCACTGGCATTTTTTAATATTACTACCAACAATGGTAGAAATCTTGCGGAAATTGTGAGCGGCTATGATGATCGACGATACTGGATCATGGGAATTATTTTTCTTATCTTTTCATTTATAATATACTCTTATAAAACTTTATTATCACTTATGGAAAACATTCTGAACAAAACCCATTCATCAACAACATCAACTCAAAATGATTTAGCGATTCATTATTGTAAATTGTCATAAATTTTTGCCACAGGGAACTAAAATCATTTTTGAAGAATGAAGAGATTTCTCTGCAAAAATTACACCTAACGAAATTAATAATTATTAAGGTTCTCAATGGTATTAGTTATATCGAATCATCTGGGAGATATTATATTAGATTAGATGAACAGAACACATATCAATTGGAATTATTATCGGGCATGTCTCTCAATATTTCAAGTCTTAAATTAAGGTCAGGTAGTTTCAAGTTTTTGGTTGACTTTTGTTTTTGAGCTTTTGGATAGTTATCAATCAGTAATTTTTCAATTATTCCCATTCAGGTTTTGAATTGTGTACTTTATTTTCACACGCCAATAAGTACCTACATATTTCAGTTATTTCGTATAATTCACATAAAATATTTTCAAAATCAAACATCATTTTGAAAAATTGATAGCAGTGATTCACATTTATAGCTGCGGCGACGGCGGAAAAAAATATTGAGAAGCGACTATAAAAAAGCTCATCCACGACGCCTCTTGGGCTTTATGACATTAGCCCTTCTGATGCCGCTCCTAAGATCCTTATGCAAATGTTTAAAATTCACACTCCCTCCACTTGGGCGATAATCGCGAAAAACTTTATCTTTCATCGGATTAGAGTCGATTTCACAATCCCAATGTCCAAACTCGAATTTGACAAATGACACAGATGATGCCTGCGTTTTGAATTACAGAAGAACCTCCATAATACGACACGAAACCGCCAAAGTGAGCACATAAATCCCCTAAATATCGTGCACCACTACCGTATACCGTACACTAGTTTCAATGCTATTGAGAGGTTGTACTGTACAAAGACTGTAGGTACATAGGTACCTAGTATTTTCAGATTTCTGGAAATGTATGTAAGGTACATACTCAAAAGGTACCTAATTCAAGAAAAATGCTAGCCGTACCCAATTTTTTCCTCATATAACATCCCATTCGGATTATTTAAAAAATAAACACATTAATAAATTTTATTTTAGGTATTGGTTATGCTGTAGTTTTAATCGCCTTTTACGTTGATTTCTACTACAACGTCATCATAGCTTGGGCACTTCGGTTTTTCTTTGCTTCGTTCACTAATTTACTTCCATGGACAACTTGCGATAATGAATGGAATACTCCAAATTGTAGACCTGTAAGTATTTTTCTAATAATAACTTGCCTCTAAACTTTCTATTTTTTTATTTTAAATGGCTGTCAGTTCTTTTTTTTTTATGCATTTGAAAATTAAATATCATCTCGAAACAAATATAGTTGCAATAGTTGCATCGAAAATCGAAATATAAGAGTTTTTTTTTCGTTATGCCTAATTACATCAAACAACGGAAAATCCATTATTTTTTCAATCTGAGAAGAACTTCGTTAAAACTTTTCTCCAAAGTGAAATTGACATGACGCACATTCTTCTAGAATGGCGTTTACTAGACTAGACGTGACTAGAGCGTTGCAGATCATTAAAGTTACAGTGAGTTGAAATGTGAACAGCGCGACCTCTATTGTTTTTTAGTCTTCTGCGTAGAACCGACAGAACCGTTGATTGTATAACGTAGGGCTTGTGTAATTTTATTCGATAAAGCCAGGTTAACACGTTCCAAGTGCACTTGGACCAAGTAGTTGGCAGCCAGCCTACCTACTTGGATGTTAGGACCTATCCAACTGGACTTGGATACGCCAGGTTGAAACGGTCCAAGTGTACTTGGATCAAGTACTCCTGGGCCCGTATTCTCGTCACCAGGAAACAGCGTTCTCTCAAGAGAACGATTGCTCTGTCTTATAGTCACCCGCATATTGTTATTTCCATAATACTGACAAAGACAGAGCAATCGTTCTCTTGAGAAAACGCTGTTCCCCGGTTACGAGAATACGGGCCCTGGACGCTTCGCGCGCCTCACTTGGATCGTATAAACTGTTTATCCAAGTCCAGTTGGATAGGTCCTAACATCTGAGTTAGTAGGCTGGCTTCCAACTTACTTGGTTCAAGTTCTCATCCAAGTGCAGTTGGACTAAGCACTTGGACCACATCAACCTGGGCTTAAACACACACACACAACGCTTGATACGATCCAAGTATCATCCAAGTGAGGCGTACGCTGCGTCCAAGGGTACTTTATCCAAGTACACTTGGACCGTGTCAACCTGGCTCAAAACCTTTAAAAAACTTCACCCACGACCATTATTATAAATATTAAAAATCACACTGCTTTCCATCAGTCCCATCTATGTAATGTAGGTAAGTTATGATAAAGTGAATCGTACAGGTTTAGACCAATCAAAAGCCGCCGTTAGTCTTCCAGTGATGCTGGATTAAAAAGTTTGTTTTTAGTTTGCATAAATTGTACTTAATTTAAAATTATAATAGTGACACTTGACAGTTTACCGTCTATTTACTGAAAATATTCAGTTTATTTATTCGTGCAATCAACTTAATCGCAGAATAGTGTATTAGTTCAAAGGGGTAGCACCTTGCACCCTCTCGAAGGGTTTCAAAACAAACTAAATTTACTAAAAAAGTACACTCTGAAACAACACTGAACTAAAAGAAGGAATACTCAAGCAGAGACATTCGACGATGAAACGCGTGCCCTAACATTGTGTCATGAAATTACATAAATGTCAAATGCAATTAAAAGATATAAACTAATGCCAATTTCCATTTTAGTTCGACTTCCAGAATGGAAATGCTAGCGGCGCACTAAATACCAGCGCTACGTTAGCATCCGCAGCGTCGGAATATTTCAAGTAAGTACCTAAGTGGGTTTAATACAGTTACCTAAAAAAGGTTGAAAATTCTCTAAAAATACTCCGTGAAGTAGGTATTTCCCTTCCGCAACCAGTAACAAGTCACCTATCACTTCGACCTAACTTCATTATACAACGATTCTCTCCATTTCGGCTGATCTCTCTGACTTATAGGTAATTACGGGCTTTATGTACAAAAGATTTAATCGAGACATCTCTAGAATCACGAAATGCCTATTCACTCGAATAAAGCAATACATTTCATGAATACTCGCGTTCGGTCAGGTCGTTACTGTAAATAATCTGATCTAGTAACAACATGTAGAAATCTTCCTTATCGCCACGTGATATGGCGGATTTTGCATTTTTATTGGCCAACCTATGCAATACGATCGTAAATAATTGCCGCTGAACAATTCCCAAACATAAATTTCGACCTCTAACTTCAACATCTCTCTGTTCCAGTCGTGCCATATTAGAACTCCATAAAAGCGAAGGTCTCCACGATCTAGGAACAATCAAATGGGACACCGCCCTATGCCTCCTAGCCGTTTACATCATTTGCTATTTTTCTCTATGGAAAGGCATATCGACCTCTGGAAAAGTCGTATGGTTTACTGCACTGTTTCCGTATGCAGTACTTTTAATTCTATTCGTCCGGGGCATCACTTTGCCTGGATCTACTGAAGGAATCAAATATTATTTGAAGCCAAATTTTAGTGTTATTTCATCAGCAGAGGTAGATTTTGTTTCATTTATCGAATCTTTATATTTCATTATTGAAATAATAGGTGTGGGTTGATGCAGCTACGCAAGTATTTTTTTCATTGGGTCCAGGTTTTGGAGTACTACTAGCCTATGCTTCTTATAACGAATACCATAACAATGTCTACAAGTAAGTATAACTTTTTATGTCCATATTTCATAAAAATTGAACTATGTAAGCCCTAGGCAGAAGAAGTTATATTGCTGAAATGTATTTAATCAAGACTATTTATATATATGAACGTTTTCCAAATTGAAAACCTTCCATTTGATATTTAAATTAATATCTCTCTTAGATTTACTTTTATACACTAAATGTATCTTTCTGTTTTTCCCCCTAGGGATGCGTTACTAACAAGTTTTATAAACTCCGCCACCAGTTTCGTATCTGGATTCGTAATTTTCTCAGTCCTTGGCTACATGGCCCACGAATCTGGAAGGCCCATAAAAGAAGTAGCTACAGAAGGACCAGGACTGGTCTTCATTGTGTACCCAGCAGCAATAGCAACGATGCCAGGAAGCATATTTTGGGCTCTTATTTTCTTTATGATGTTGCTTACTTTAGGATTGGATAGTTCGGTAAGAAGATATATTTTTTATCAAAGCAAGAACTGAACATTTTTCAAATTAGTTTGGAGGGTCAGAAGCTATAATAACTGCCCTCAGTGATGAGTTTCCAAAAATCGGACGTAACAGGGAAATATTCGTGGCATGCCTTTTTAGTCTCTATTTCTGCGTTGGACTTGCCTCTTGCAGCCAAGGAGGTTTCTATTTTTTCCAGCTTTTGGACCGCTATGCCGCTGGTTATTCCATGCTCGTTGCTGTTTTCTTTGAGGCTGTAGTTGTTTCATGGATTTATGGTAAGTCAATAAGTAAATGAATAATATTGCTGTTACTGTAGTTATGTCGGTCGAAAGCATTCAACAATGTCATAATTGAAATCTTGCTCAAAAAGATATTCAACATGGGAAAATGCATTGTCCTGCTGCTTATAATCCTACTTACGTCAGATTATAAATAACAATTAAAGCGGAAATGCGGTGTCCCCAGGAACAACGACTTCCCTTAAAATACTTACTATATTCATACAACCTGAAATAAAAAAAGAGACTCTTTTATCTTTTGAAAGCTTTCGCAATATTTTTTATTGCTTCTTCAGCCATAAACAACCTAAAATATATAGAAATTAATGATTGTTCAATATTCAATATACTCCGTCAATTTTCATATTGTTACTTTCTTATGTTATGTTGTCTATCCGCTTCCTTTTAAGTTTTAGCTTTTTTGAGTTTATAGGTAAGAAGGTAAGTAAAGTAGAGTCGAAATAACTTGGCATAATGGGCAATAAAATATGCAAACCAATCGCAGTTAAGGGAACCGCCCTAGAAATGTGAAATGACGTACGTTTTTGTTGTCACATGCTATAAATATAGTAGAGTGAAGAGAGAACTACTTTTTCTTAACGCTTAGTACCGACACCCTGGATATAGGGTTGTACGATTGCAGTGGTGGTGTGTACCCGGGGGTACCAATGAGACGCTACCCTGGCATGACTGTACGAATTTGGCAAGCGGTGAGAAACAGTAGTTGTCTCTTTTTACTTTACTTCCCTTATAGCATGTGACAACAAAAACGTACGTCTTTCACATTTCTAGGGCAGGTTTCTTAATTGTGATTGGTTTGCATATTTTATTGCTATTATGCCAAACTATTCCGTCTTTACTTATACCTACTTTTCCTTTATTATTTTTTTGTATTGCCTAATTCTAGCATGATTTTACTATCCTCCGTTTTCATTTTAGTTGCGTTTTTAAATTCGTCTAATTTGTTGAATTCTTATTTTTGAGTCTCGCACAATCATTGAATAATTAACAAATATAATATATTTAAAGGTACTCGGAGATTCTGCGATGATATCCAAGACATGATTGGGTTCGCGCCTGGTCTGTATTGGAGGTTCTGTTGGAAGTTTGCAGCGCCACTTTTCCTTCTATTCATTATTTTTTATGGACTCTGGTTTTATACGCCACTCACGTACGAGGATTATGTGTATCCACCATGGGCAAACGCTTTGGGATGGGCTATTACAGGGTCATCTGTTATCATGATACCTGCGGTTGCCATTATACAGTTGCTGATTACGCCTGGGTGTTGTGCAAAGGTAAGTTGATATACTAGGTCGCGATATCTAAGTCCAGGGGAACGAATTAATCAAAAAGGAGTGTAAGACGGATAACAAGCTCTAAAACTGTCCTACTGCATTGTGCTTTTAACGTGCATGGGCTTGTTTATTTGGAAACCTAGAAAAATTTTGGTTTGTTCAATCAAAAATCAGTAATTTCTGATACTGTTGCCTTCAAAGTTGCAAGACATAAAACCAAAACCTAAAACGGAGGATGTTTAAATCCTTGTTTTTCGTCTTTGGCGCCAATATGTTTAAATAAACAATATCAGATATTTCACAACCTTCTCTTTGAAGTATCTATTCTTCAGTAAGTTCTAGCCCCGTCCTATAGTCATCTCGAATTCAATTCAGATCAGTGCTTTGACCCTCGAAAGGCATTTGTATTTTTGCTTTTGTTTATCAGTAGATTCTGGCCCCTTTTCAAACTTGCTGTTTGTCTGAGAACAGTGGCGTATCCAGCCTGAGGTCCTGGGGGGGGGCAGACCAGATGCCCGCCGGCGGAAATTTTTTTAAGGTTCCACGCCCAAAAGTCGTTAAAATCACACATCTTGATGGCATATTCGCGCGCTTCTAATACTTTTATAGGACAAAAAATATATTTTTACCGAAAAATAAGGTAGAGTCATGGTTCCGTATTATTGGCCGCCACTGATAAAATATTTGGGCTGCTCATTGAAACGATAAGAGGTTTATAACTGAAATTATTTATTTTCCTAAGAAATCGACTTTCAAGATACAAGTAACACATAACACAAAACATAAAGCCAAAGTAAAGATAAATTCAAAGGTGTGTAATACATACGTACATAAAAATAGTTATTTTCCAAACAATAAGTGCGCAGACTTTCCCGCACGAAAAAGCAGTTAGACGAACGACGCGAAGCGGAGTTCGGATAAGCTTTCAGTGCGGGAAAGACACTTTGCGCAAGTGTTAGGAACAATACTTTTTCTTCGAGTGTTTGAAGATCTGCATAGCATCCAGAAGAGCTGTACCTAATCTTCTTAAATGTTTCCAGATGCTCAAAACGGTTAATTTTCCCCCTTAGTTTAATGTGCTGTGTTTTTTTTTAGTGATCAGCTTGACTTTATTTGCAACAGTGGTTATGCTAGCGACGTTTACTTAAAATTTGTTTTTCCTGCTAAATTTGAAGACTAAACTTATCAGGATGATATTTTTTCATGTGACTTTTCAAATTAGTTCTACATAGCAATAACGATGCTCCAAAATATCCTATCCATGTTTGCTTGCATTATCATAGATCTTATTTTGTACATTGGTTTCTGATTCATTCTTTCCGTAACACCATTAAGTTGAGAAGTATATAAACGAGTATAACACTGTCCAACTTTTATGATCTGATACTCCAAAGGAATGTGAGTTGGTAACTTGGTGGCTCCCCACGCCAATGGTCACCTGTTTTTGCTAGATTTTTCCTCCCCTCACTCTTCATACGGGAAGTGTCAAATTAAAAAAGCTAAACATTACATGGATACCTTTCTTGCATAGACCGATTAACAATAACGTATGACGTATGGACGGAGTTTCGAGAGAGAATAGCGATGACAGAAGAGTAAAGAGAGATAGCATCAGCGCATTCAAATATACGTGGTTTTGCTGGTCGTCACGTGATTGCATCATAGACTGCTTCTTGTCATACTCATTAATTTTCTATTCCGCTATGTCACTTTCATTCTGTCACCATGTTTGCTGCGTGTGCTAAATGGAGATCGACTCCGTCCATATTTTAGTATTAATAGGTCTATGCTTTCTTGGAACAAAAATAACATGAAGCCCTTCTTTTCGAATAGGTATTAGTTTGTACATCCAGAAACCCACAAAACATTAAGAAATCCGGTAGGTAATACGGTAATTTTGCGTAGCAAGAAATGAGTGTGCAAAGAGGTTCCGTGCGCAAAGGTAAACTTTGCGCACGCCAATAAGTGTGCAAAGTATTAACTTGACGCACGCGAGTAAAAAAAATATTTTTCGTCATTTGAGATATTTTTGAGAAATAAAAGGTTGTTGCTCTGGGGGGGGCAATTGCCCCCTTTGCCCCCCCCCTGGATACGCCGGTGTCTGAGAACTCTCACATATGTTAAGATAGTTCACGGAAAGCAACGTCATAGTCAAACACAAGACTCAAAATGACCAATCTACATAGACAAAATTTGATTTTCGTTAAAATCGCACCTATGGGTATGGTTTTGGAGATAATTAGCCGTTTCCAGACTCTTCTTCCACTCTGCATACAACACTAATTCTCAATTTTTTTTATTTCTTAAGCGTATGAAGATACTGACTACACCATGGCAAGATACTCAAGTCAACGCTCAGTTAAACGGAGTAGTTCAATCAGAAAGCCACCAAGTCAGATTGTCGTCAGCAGCGGAAACTCCCACTGACCAACGTCCGATTGAGGTTTGAGACAAGAAAATATCAAAATTTACAGAGTATTACGTTTAAATGGTTTATGTATATAGTAGAGATTTAGTAAATATACTTAGAATTGAATAATATAACATTTGTTATGTAGAGTAAACGAAATTCTAGATGTTTATATGTATGTACCTAACATAGTTAAGTAGAAAATCTAGCCTCATAGGTATGGAAAGCTGTACCTGTCTTCCTAAGCATATAAGGTAGAAACAATTTAAGATAGAAGCATATGTAAATAATTTTTAGAACTTTATAATAAGTATAAACCTTAGGTTTTGATATGTATTGTCGTTTTTGGTAAAACTGTCAAACACTTGCTTTTCAAAAACTTAGTTCGAGACTGCCTTCGTTCAAACTAAGTTTTTATTACAAATTGTAATTGAAACAAATTAATACATATCATGATCATTAAGTAAGTTGATAGGTAAGTATACAGGGTGTTGTGGTTTTTATCTGCTATAGTCCGGAGGCCGAGGACCTTTTTTCCAAATCATTAATAACAAGCTAGTTTTTTCAATGCAGCTTCATTTCACCGAGACGCCCAACTTTTTTCTCTTCGAAAATTGCGAAAACAGGTAGCTAACATACTGCTTTGGTGACTATGAAAATTTAATTAATAACAGTTAGTTTTTCAGCTAAATGTTGAGATAATTTTATGAATAATTTGAAACAACATTTGTCCGACAAAATAAAGGGTATGGTCTACGATGTCCCCCCCTCAAACATGTAGCAATTACGTTGCATAAAAAATGATTAATAACAAGTTGATTTTTTCAATGTAGGTTGGTAAATATTATTACAATTAAATGGTCACACTGTCCTACAAATAAACAGGTAGCTATTTTCAGTCCTACACTCAAAAGTTGTCGATTTCACGATTTAACTTTTTTCATTAATAACCGGCTAAATCTATCTTCGTGAGTATCTTCATTTTGATAAGACGCCCAAATTTTCTGTTGCGAAAATTCCAAAAACAGGTAGCTAACAGAGTGCGCAGGTGGAAAACATGTCTATTTGGTGATCATACAAATGTAAATAATAACAGTTAATTTTGTAGCTGAATGTTGAGATAGTTTCATAAATAATATGAAACAACATTTGTCCGACAAAATAAATGGTTTGATCTAGGCTGTCTCCCTTCTCAAACCTGTAGCAGATACGTTACATAAAAAATGATTTATAACCAGTTGATTTTTTTAATGTAGCTTAGTAAATATTACTACAATTAAATGGTTACACTGTCCTACAAATAAAGAGGTACATTTCTCCAGTCCTACACTCAAAAGTTGTCGACTTCACGGTAATACTTTATTCATCAATCACCGGCTAAATCTTCTCGAGCATCTTCGTATTAATAATACGCCTAACTTTTCTATTGCGAAAAGTTGCAAAAGTAGTAGCTACTAGAGTGAGCATTAGTGAGCACATGTAAAATACCTTGATTAGCTGATTATGCAAATGTAATTATTAACAGTTAACAGTTAATTTTTCAGGTGAATAATGAGATAATTTTATAAATAATTCGAAATTCGATTTGAGCCACAAAATAAATGGTTTGGTCTGCAGTGTCCCCTTTCTCAAAAATGTAGCAATTACTGGCTCATAAAAAACGATTTATAACCAGTTGATTTTTTTACTGTAGTTTGGTAAATATAACTACAATTGAATGGTCACATTGTCCTAAAGAGGTAAGATTTCTCAGCCCTACATTCGAGAATTTCGAAAATAGCCTTATGCATATTATACGTAAATATTTACAGGGCTTTCATTTCAAAACTTGCCACTCACGTTATCTGCGTAAATAGACAGATTTCTAGAAATCGCCGAAACATGTCAACAAATTTATTGAGGGGGTGCGTTAATTTGTTGACGTGTTCCGGCGATTTCCAGAAATCTGTCTCTTTAGGCAGATAACGTGGGTGGCAAATTTCGAAATGAAAGCCCCTGTATGTACATATGTATAACAGTATATGTGTTATGTGTATGTACACATACCTACATTTATGTCGATGGTTTCCATTCGCATCGACGCGCATGCTCGTAAATAACACAGTATCGTAGTATAGGGTGATTCAAAAAGCGCGCCAGATTTGAATTGCTCGAAAAAGAGTTTTGGCATGCCATCAAAGTAGAGGGGGCCATGCCCTTTGTCATTTTCCATACCCAGATGGAGAAGGTTTGATCCAGCCAAAATAGAGCTCCTTTTTTAATGTATTAAATCTGGCGCGCTTTTTTGCTGTATATAGGGTGAATACAGGGTGTTTTCTAAGTTAGAGTTTTTCTTTTTAAATAACGTGGAACTTAAAAAAATACAGGAGTTTTCCAAATAATATTTTCTCGACAGCTCAAAAATAAAAGAGATAGGTATGTTCATTTCAAATAATATCAAAAATCAAATATTTTAATAATTATATTTTTCAAAATACAAAAGGTAAAATTCTTGAATTTAATCTTTTTTTCCAGAAATCTGTCTCTTTACGCAGATAACGTGGGTGGTAAGTGTTGAAATGAAAGCCCTGTACATATTTACGTATAATATGCATAAGGCTATTTTCGAAATTCTCGAATTTAGGGCTGAAAAATCTTACCTCTTTAGGACAATGTGACCATTCAATTGTAGTTATATTCAACAAACTACAGTAAAAAAATCAACTGGTTATAAATCGTTTTTTATGAGCCAGTAATTGCTACATTTTTTAGAAAGGGGAGACTGAAGACCAAACCATTTATTTTGTGGCTCAAATCAAATTTCGAATTATTTATAAAATTATCTCATTATTCACCTGAAAAATTAACTGTTAACTGTTAATAATTACATTTGCATAATCACCTAATCAAGGTATTTTACATGTGCTCACTAGTGCTCACTCTAGTAGCTACTACTTTCGCAACTTTTCGCAATAGAAAAGTTAGGCGTATTATCAATACGAAGAGGCTCGAGAAGATTAAGCCGGTGTCCGGTGATTGATGAATAAAGTATTACCGTGAAGTCGACAACTTTTGAGTGTAGGACTGGAGAAATGTACCTCTTTATTTATAGGACAGTGTAACCATTTAATTGTAGTAATATTTACTAAGCTACATTAAAAAAATCAACTGGTTATAAATCATTTTTTATGTAACGTATCTGCTACAGGTTTGAGAAGGGAGACAGCCTAGATCAAACCATTTATTTTGTCGGACAAATGTTGTTTCATATTATTTATGAAACTATCTCAACATTCAGCTACAAAATTAACTGTTATTATTTACATTTGTATGATCACCAAATAGACATGTTTTCCACCTGCGCACTCTGTTAGCTACCTGTTTTTGGAATTTTCGCAACAGAAAATTTGGGCGTCTTATCAAAATGAAGATACTCACGAAGATTTAGCCGGTTATTAATGAAAAAAGTTAAATCGTGAAATCGACAACTTTTGAGTGTAGGACTGAAAACAGCTACCTGTTTATTTGTAGGACAGTGTGGCCATTTAATTGTAATAGATAATATTTACCAACCTACATTGAAAAAATCAACTTGTTATTAATCATTTTTTATGCAACGTAATTGCTGCATGTTTGAGGGGGGGGACATCGTAGACCAAACCCTTTATTTTGTCGGACAAATGTTGTTTCAAATTATTCATAAAATTATCTCAACATTTAGCTGAAAAACTAACTGTTATTAATTAAATTTTCATAGTCACCAAATCGACATGTTTTACACCTGCGCAGTATGTTAGCTACCTGTTTTCGCAATTTTCGAAGAGAAAAAAGTTGGGCGTCTCGGTGAAATGAAGCTGCATTGAAAAAACTAGCTTGTTATTAATGATTTGGAAAAAAGGTCCTCGGCCCCCGGACTACTATTTACTAGTAAACTCCAGGATCTATGGGCATTAAATTGATTAAAAAAATTAGGGGGATGAGAAAAGGTCTAGGAGTCAAGGGTAGTTTAAGGGCGGGTATTATAAAACTACTTTGAGAGTTAACTTAAAGTTAACTTCTAGAATTACATGTAATTTAAAAAGTTAACTTCAAGTTAACTGTCAAAGCAGTTTTATAATACCCGCCCTAAGATAGGAAACACGTCGAACAAACTTTTGAAAAAAAAATTGTAACTTCAGAATTCTTATAAACACAGTGTAGATCCTTAAACGCTTCTTTTTAATGTTGAGGAAAGAAGACCCTTTTGCCAATTTCAATGAAATGTGCAATTATATTTATCCTGCTTATTGGGTAATAGGCTAATTATAGCACGTCACTTTTATTTGCGTTAAAATTTAACAAAGATAAATATCTAATTGCTTTATACAGTGACCGCCAAAAAGTTTGCAACAAATGGGAAAATATTTTATTATTAAGATATCAAAAAAAATGTTGCGTGGGATCAATTCAGCATACCCATCAACAAAAAAAATCACTTTGACAGATGTCATGTGACCACAGTCGTGGCGGCAAATTTAAAAAGTTCGCCTTAAATATGTGAAAAGTGGGGTTAGACGACCAGAAATCGAAAAACTGTAGAGAAAAAAGTTGTTCAGGATCCGATTTTACGTCTATGTGTCAATTTTTAAAAAAGGTACAAGGATTTTTAATAAATATCAATTTTTCAGCCTGTTTTCTGGTAATTTGAGAAATATCGAAAACATTTCGCAAAAATATTGGCTTGATTAAATTTAGAAAAGAGGTATTGGATCATTTAGAAACATTTCATGATAATTCTGAATTTGTTATTCCAAATTTTTGTTCTCTGTAGGTCATTGCAACAAGATCAGAGTAGTCTGAAAATGAATATTTGGTTTTTTACAATTTGACGCGAGAGTCGCGAGACAATTAAGCACATTTTTTGTTAGTTTCACTTTGAATTATGTGAACCCTGCGAAGAGTTTTTGATATTTTTCAAATTACCAGAAAACAGGCCAAAAAAGTGATATTTTTTAAAAATCCTTGTACCCTTTTAAAAGTTGACACATAGACGTAAAATCGAATTCTGAACCACTTTTCTCTCTACAATTTTTTGATATCTGGTAATCTTACCCCACTTTTCACATATTTGAGGCGAACTTTTTAAATTTCCCGCCATGACAGTGGTCACATGACATGTGACAGTGATTTTTTTGTTATTGGGTATGCTGAATCGATCCCACGTAACATTTTTGTTGATATCTTAATAATAAAATATTTTCCCATTTGTTGCAAACTTTTTGGCGGTCACTGTATAATATCATCAGATAAGTGGACCCCTATAGATGCCACTGGAATGAAATATATAGGTACATTTAATTGCCACACAGGGTCATCACACTATGAGAGACTAAAATTTCCTCAAATTCGATAAATCATCGAGACATTATGTCGATTGCACCAAAGAAATTGAAAAAGAAAACAAACTCGGATAAACTAAAACAACCTGTAGATAACGATACATTTGTCAGATGCTTGACATCTTTCCCAGTTATAAAAAAAAAACTTTGAGTTCTCTCAAATATCCAGCAATACAGTCTAAAATTACCTTTCTGGAGAACTAATATTAGAATATACAAAGGTACGTAAAAACTTATAGAAATCTTAAACAGTATCAAAATTCCTCATATTTTATTTTGGTTTCTTAAAAAGATTAAATTTATGATAATGTAGAGTACTCACTAAGATAATTGTAATAACTTAGAAAAAGTAATGTGTAGCAATATAATGGATGTTATTATTTCCATTTAAGATGTTGTACAGGTACAATAATTAGTGAAAATGAGTATCATCAATGGTCATGTATATGTATACACCTACCTACCAATTTAAAAAACAAATATCTTATACTTTTTTGAGATTTTTTTTTATATTATATAAACCTAGTTATTGAAAAAAATACAGGGTGTCCTAGTTAAAAATGCAGTGTAGTTTGGTAATTTTATAAATCTTTTAGAAATAGGAGGAAGTATTTTCTAGTGACAAAAATAAAAAAAGATTAAATTTACCGAGAAATTTACTTTCATTAAATTTTAAAAAACGAGTTGTCAGTTTGCATTTCAGAGATAAATATTTCGAATTAAAACGTTAGCTTGTTCAATTTTCTGTAGAAGAGCTGTTTTTATGGCAAACTCATTTCCCCGCTATAAGTTAGGCTTTAGAATAGGGTCCTTCAACAAAAACTTATTCTAGGAATTAAGTTCAGAAAAAACTATACATCATTATCCTTCACATTCAGCGATTTTTTTATTTTTCTTTCTTCATGGTTTACAACCTAGTTGAGCAATTTTTATCGGAAACACCCCATACATAACGTGAAAGGTCAAACAGCCATTTGACTTTTCACAAAATAACAGATATTGTTGTCTTAGATATTATGGATTTACCATTCTAAAAAAAACAGCTTTTTTGTGTGTAAGATAAGATCTACAAATGTAATATAACCTTATTTCCCCTTGCTTAGTATGATATGTACATATATATGTATGTATATTGTATTTACTTACTATAGGGAAAATCTAGTTGTGATCCAAAAATTCGTTTATATTTTAATTTATTTTTATTGGTAATTTCATAAAATATTCTATTTTGTTACTTTTATAAAAAAATAATTTATGCTTTTTAATAATTTCATATTATATTTTTATAAAATATTAATTCTTTCTCATAAACTAATAAGTTAAATGATTTCTTCAATTAGGAAAAAGGTACTTGCAACCAGCCATTGCAAATTCCTTGAAACAATGTTACCATTCTACGAATTTTCGTTTATTTCAATATAATTTTAGTTTATAAGCGCTTGGTTTTATTGTCAAAATTACCTACTTGTGTATGAAAAAAACACTTTTTGTGAAAAGAATATGTCTCAAAAAGGCTTATACTTGTCCACAATGTCCAACAGCCTACAGCTAGAAGGATATCGGACCTGTATACCATGTTCAAGATCCAGCTCACCCACAGAATACCTTAAACTCATTGAGAACCACGTCAATACCAAATACTATGCGCCTGAATGCTGGAGCATTGCATAGTCAAAAGATCACAGTCAGATTACCGCTGCCGTCGCGTCGCCTCCTTTGTGTTTGTAAATATTTTATAACAGGCTAAAAACAGTTGTTCGTACCCCTCAATATCTGAAATCCATACCGATTAGACCTTAAAATGTTTTTGTGAACATTCTAGATTTCACAAGCTTCTCAATAATTTCGAAAGGGTCGATAACAAAAGAGTTTGGGCGAAAATTTGAGGTTTGAGGGATCACTCTGCACTCACCTCTCCGTCCTTTTACAAGCAGCACTATTGCAGTTTTTAGACAATCGAGTACCAATAGAAGCTCATAGACAGAGCAAGAGCATCCAAGGCCTCAGCACCAAAATAGTCCCTAGTTTGAGATTTCATGCTTTATTTATGTAGGTATTTAAATTTAGTTGAAAGAGTCCATTGTGTTGATATTTAAACTAAAGTCTATTAACTGAAAAAACTACACAAAATAATTTTATCAAAATATATTAATCCAAATCAATTCACATTCTAAAAAAAGTTTCAACTCCATAAAGGTTATCAATTCTTGGAACCAATAACTAGATACAAAATAATATTAAACATTGATCAAAACAAATTCATCTCGAAATTCATATTATAAAATAAATGAAAGCCCCATAAAAAAAAACACAAATATGTATACCAAAAAATCAGGATTATTCATTCTTGCTGGTAGGTCAGATGGACACATTTTTAATTCTTACTTAAAAAATCTTGCAATTCGCTCGAATCAACTTCTTTGTTGGGTTTATTATTGTCAACCCCTGCTTCTGGGCTCAGCCTGGCACAAGACTTTTTGTGCCAAGTCCAATGCAATCTTTGGCAGTTTCTATCACAATATTGCACAACTTTACATTTGGAACATTTCTTAGCTGGTTTTTCCTCGCCGCAAGTGTTGCAATGAGGAATCTGGTCAATGAAACCTCTTTGTCCGTTTATGACAGAATTAACGACATATAATGCAGATGGAGCTTGGGTACCTGATAATGTTGTAACCATTTGTCTAAATAAGGTGCTCTCTCTAAATGGGAATTCTCTGATGCATTCTTTTAGAAAAGCGTCCATGAAGTCTAGGTTGTCGTCTTTACCTGTAAATTAAAAAATCAAACTGGGTATTTAAGAAAGACTAAGCTAAGACAGAGAGAAAAAATATTATTTTTTTCCGTCTGGAACTAGGTGGCGAACTTCAGACTAGAACGACCTGTGCCTTTATGAGAAACTCATAAACGAAATTATTCGAGAAATTATTTGAAAGCAACAATTTTGAATGAAACATGAAACGTGTGTATTGCCGTGACATCTGAGGGGCGAAGAGCAAAAAAATGGCGGACACATGGTGAGTTGTATCGTGAACCTTGTCAAACTTGTTTTTATGAAGGTAGCCATAATGGATTTCAACCATCTGCAGCCAATTTCCTTATTGATGTACTGTCAATACACCTGTCAATTTTTTGTCCTCATTCTTTCTGTCGGCAAATTTATCTTTGTCAGGCTTTGTATAAAACTCGTTTTTGATGTATATATTTGTTTTTATTTCTTTCTGACCTTTGATGACACATGTCAGACTAGGATGGCCTGCAGATTGGGTGGCAAAAAGGAACATTTTTTAAATTAAATCAGAAGTTTACCTGGTTTTAAAAGTTTTCTCGCAAAAGCCTCAGTTATATCAGTTTTCTTCTCATCTTCAACAGCAGTTTCTTTTTTAGCAGCCTGTCTGTCTTTCAATTTACGAATCTCGCCAACAATATATCCCAGATAATGGAATTTGAATGACATAACCTCATTAGTCTCTGGGCCCCTATTCATTTCTCTCTCTCTCATCGATTCCAAAACTCTCTTGACTTCATCCAAATGATCTTGCAAGCCCACAAAACTATAGATGTTCATGACAACTTTAATCGGATGGACATTAGTTTGCATTATAAACTTATGGAAGCTATCCAATAGAAATGATGGTAAAGTGGGAGTAGTTTTACTGTCTGTGTGCTTATAACATTCAACATCTTGTTTTGGAACGTAATTATTAATAACAGCAACACAGTTATGGTGTCCCACAAAAGCTGCCATTTGAGATGGTGTACGTCCAACAGAGTTGGTGTCAGTTGATTTGGCACCTGCTTCAAGAAGCAAAAGACAAACGTCGGGATTTCCCGAGAGTGCGCCAAAGTGGAGAGCAGTGTAGTTGTGTTGGTGTTGACATAATGTCACTTCTGCACCCTGAAAAGTACAAGTATTATAAGAAATTAATTGATGGTGGAAGCTCTTAAAAAAACGCAATGTTTTGCTTGGAAAAACTAAAACAACCCAAGGGTTTTATTATTAGGTATTATCGTCACATTACAATGGGAAAAGCGAGGTAAAATGGTTGTCAAATTTGATAAATTTGATTTTCAAGAATATTGGAAAATGAATGAAATGTTAGTATACCTACCTAATCGTTTGACTCTCGGTTTGACTACTAATTTAAACAAATATCCACGAAAAAATCTAGGAACACTTTTTGATTTGATTAATAAAGAACAGAGAAAGAAACAGTGACAATTAATTATTACCCTTAGCAAATCTAGAGAAAACTGCAAGCATTAGAAAGTGCCCCATTATCAAATCACAACCTGAAATGAAATGGAAATTTAACTTACTTGATCAAGTAATATCTGAACTAAATCCTTATTCCCTTTGTAAGCTGCATGCTGCAAAAGGGTCATGTTGTTCTCATCTAAGATGTTAACATTTTGGGGCTTCTCAGATAACAATGCTTTCAGCAGCAGGGCATCGTTATTGTTAATGGTGTCAAACAATTTTTGGTCTTCGGGAAGTAGCGACTTCTCCGAGGACTTTTCGCCAGTTTCCTGCATTTTCCTATAAATTTATATAAAACTCTTCTCAGGTAAAATGTTGATCGTCCTGTCGACTTTTAACTACCACTCAGACTCAGGAAACAGGAGTAATCAGGACTTTACTCGATTGAATTCAGTCCGACTTTTATAATATTTGTGTGGATTATTTGTAGGTTAGATATTCACTTCATTTGTCAAACATGACAGATTTGGGTGTCATACGGTGCTGCCACCAACTCTTCCCGATTTGAGTTAATTTTGGTTGTTCCGAAGCGGTGCAAAAATGCGAAAAATCTTGCACCGTCTTTTGAGAGGAGAGTGAACCAACCCTTTTCACGTGGCTCCGGTTTAACAAACCGCAACATACCGCTCAAATTCGAGTGGTAGGTATATACACGTCACTTTGTAACCGGGTTAGAAAACGGTATGTCATTTCTCTAACCGTTTTGTAACCCGGTTACTTAAACCGGAGCCACGTGAAAAGAACTAGAAGAGATAAACGCTGCGTTCGGTTTTACCACAGCCTCCTATAGTTAAATGTAGGAGGCTGTGGTTTTACCGTCTGATCAATCTTGTCGATCTAAGGGCGGGTATTATAAAACTACTTTGAGAGTTAACTTAAAGTAAACTTCTGGAATTCCATGTAATTCAAAAAGTTAACTCCAAGTTAACTGTCAAAGCAGTTTTATAATACCCGCCCTAAATCGTTTGGCGCTCTCGAGCTGCTCTCATTTCCTCACCTCTTACCCCTGAAGCAACTACCATTATATGGGTTGCGTCATGCTCTGGGCAATACGGTTTCGAACCTTCGGGTGCAAAACGTATGGAGTATATCGGGTGTGAAGTGATCTAGGAGCTTATTCGCACTTTGCGCCCGTAAGCGGCTCATATCATGAAGCTTTTGTAAAAAAGTTTCAAAAGTTGCTGAAACTATTCAAAAGGCTTTCTTGAACTGTATCTTAAGATGTATTTAGACTTTAGCACGCACGCACTGAGCGACCGCGAATGCTCTAGTGGAAACGTTCGCTTTGAATCTTTCTGCGTGCGGAAAGCCACAAGCGCGAGCTGGCCAGTGTCGGTCTCTGGTACCTACATGCTACAGAAACGTGGCACAATTTCTTCTGCATAGAACTCAACCTTTGCAGAAGAACGAAGAACCAGCTTCTTCTTCTCGTCTCTTCTTCAAAACACCAAAAGAACGAACCGAACTCAGGGTCCGGATTTCGAACCCACGAATCGTAGGTTCGGAATGCGGGCCCTCTGAACTCAGCTAGTGAGTGTGACTAGTGTGAGAGTAGTTGTATTTCTTCAAGAGTTTAGGACACTAGAGCTACTCGCTCCGGTGTTTTTTCTCGAAAAGAATAAGCGCGTAACGCCCCGGAGCTGTTCCGGAGTTCCTCCTAAGTATAGGCGCGTTCGTTTATTCCCTCGAAGTGCGGAGCGTGTGGAGCTTGAGCTACCTTGGACAGAGGTCAACTGATCATCGAGCAAACCGAGCTTGAAAATCTTGAAATAAAAAACGAACGGGTTTGTGCATCTCGAACCATACAACAGCTGCGCTCTGTGCGCACCATACGCTCGAAATTGTGAATGACGTTCGTTTATTCTCTTTCGAGCGTGTCGAAAAAAACTTTTCGCGTTCGTAAATACGTCGAGAGAGTGTATCGAGCTCGCTCGATTCGCTCCGAAATTTTTGATGGTGTGTAGTGTCCAGCGAGCGCCAGTTTAAAAAAATTCTAAGCCTACTTAAGCTAGTAAAAGTAAAATTGATTTCCTTCGTGCGTGCGGAAAACGCGTTTTCACGCACCGATTTGCGTGAAAGTACCACTTTTCCGCACAGCGTGCATGAGAATAAATTTACCGCACGAAAACTTTTTCACGCACGCTGTGAGCAAAAAAAGTTTTTCACCCACTGTTTTTTTTTCTCAATTTTTCTCTCCGTCATGTTTCAATTTCTCAAAAATTCTAGATTTTTTCGAAAATCCTCCATATTTTTTTCCCTTAAAAAAGCTATATTAACTTTTTATACTGACCAATATCGACATCTTTAACGAGTTTTATACCATAAATAATTAATTCTACTCATAGGTAATAAAAATAATTGTTAATATTCTGTTATTATAAACTTATTGCTTAAACTTAATTAAAAATCACATTTTTGACCATTTCCTTTATCAGTAGAGCAAAAAACAAACAATTTCCGCACGCTCGTAGGAAAAATGTTGTACCTATCATGAGCGTAAAGTATTTTCCGCACTTACGGACGGTTTGCACGAACTCCGCTGGTTCGTCCCGTTGCGTGTGGAAAAGTATAACTACCCACTTATCCACACTTGTTAGGTGAATAACTATTTTGTTTTTGTTAGTTTAAAGTTGTTTAGTTTTTGTGAGTGTATGACGCAACCACTGGCGTATCCAGTAGGGGGCAAAGGGGGCAATTGCCCCCCCCCCCCCAGAGCAACATCTTCTTATTCCTTTTATTTTTTAAAAATTTGTCAAATAATAAAAAAATAAATTCAAAAATGTACTGAAATTAATTTAATAAATAATACTTTTTTCAACTACATGAACAGGTAGCTTTTTTGTAAATAGAAACTGTTCAGTTGTACGCTGTGCTTGACAATCAGGGAATAAAAGTCAAAATACTAGTTTTATATTCCGCGTAATGTATATTACTAGCTGCCTACCGCTTTCGCCTTTGAGCCATCAGCACTTATCAGGGCTCAGACTTTGCCAAAAGGCGACACCACCAAAAACACAAAAACCATCTTTCTGAAAAGCAATAATAATTGTCTGGTGAAGCTGGTAATGCAAAAGGTACCTTTATGATTCAATCTTTCTGTGGAATGTACAATCATTTAGCTCCTATTGCGTAACCTATATTTCAAATTTGGGCTTAACCCATGTTTCTTTGAAATTTTATTTAGTCATAAGAAAAAACCAAAGAATCGCCCCGTTCCGTTTGTACCTGCATGATATTTAGTATGAAGGAACACCCTGTAATATTTATATTTTAGTTATTCCAGTGTGAATTTTTTTAGTAATTTAAAGTATTTATTATACAGGGTGGGGCACGAAAAATTTCCCACCCAGGTTTTCTCAGGTGTTAGGTGATCAATCAAAAATTGCTCGAACACGTCAATTATTGTTTTTCGGGGGACACATTTCATTGGTATTTTCACTCCCTACCTGTCAACCCTTAAGCGGGGGAGACAGGTACCTCCAAAATTTCAAATGTAAAAGGGGGTCGAGTGATACGTCATTTGGTAGCTATTTTTGTAAGAATTATATCCTCAAAGTTTTAAGCTGCTACTATTTTCTCTACCGAAATGGCAGTGTGTCAAAGTTAGGAAAAATGCTTTTTCCGAGTATCTGAACTGTGTGATTTTTACCACATAACAAAACAACAGATTTTTGAAGCGTACCTATCCATAGTGATGAAATAACATTGGCATTTAATCTAAGTATCGTCATTCAACAGTTCAGTTCAAAATGGTTCATGTTTATTCACTTGAAAAATATGTTAATTTGTTAATATGAGGTAAAAAACACATAGCTTTGACAAGATATTTCGACAGGGTTGATAGTAGCAATTTGAAACTTTGGGGATATAATCTTAATAAAAATAGCTAACAAATGACGCATCACTCGACCCCCCTTTCCATTTGAACTTTTGGAGGGTACCTGGTACCTGTCACCCCCGCTTAGGGGTTCACAGGTAAGGGGTGAAAATATCAATAAATAAAGTCCCTCAAAAACAAAAAGTGATGTGTCCGAGCGATTTTTGATTTATCACCTGACACCTGATAAAACCTGGATGGGAAATTTTTCGTGCCGCACCCTGTATATCTTTGACTTTTGAATAAAATTTCAGTTTGATTTTATGTTACACATGCTACCTACTTGTTTCTTGAAAGTCGATTTCTCAGAAAAACAAATAATTCCAGTTATCAACCTCTTATCGTTATAATGAGCAGCCCAAAGATTTTTTCACTGGTGGCTGGCAGGCTAATATTACGGAACCATAGCAATACCTTATTTTTCTGTGAAAATATTATATATTTTGTCCTACAAAAGTATTGAGAGAAGCGAGCAAATACTCGATTGTGTGGTTTTGAAGACTTTTGGGCGTGGCACCTCAAAAATAATTTCCGCCTATGGCAGACATACCAGGTTTGCCCCCCCCCCAGAACCTCAGGCTGGATACGCCACTGGACGCAACCGAATTTTCGTGACGAATGTAGTTCATTAGTTTAAACTTTGGATTACAAGATCCACCAGAGATCTGGGTTTTGTGGCAGGATTAACTTGTTAGATCATAAAAAATTCCAAGGGTGATGGCAATATTACTGAACACTGAACTATTACTTAATGATAATTGTTTTGTAGCAGGATTAACTTGTTAGATCAAAAAAAATTCCAAGGGTAATGGCAATATTACATGTAACGGTTCTGGAAACTTTTGGTTCAATTTTTATGACATGAAAAACGCTGCAAATGATCGGTGTTATTCGTTTCTTTGTTTTCAATGTAATGAACTGAACTAATGAATTTGCCACAAATTTAAGCAGCGCTTGTGCTGAGAGGATATCCTCAAGCCTACTTAAATATTATAAAAACCAAAAATAGAAATAGGATAATTCTTATACCCTCAACAACAAATTATTAATAGTTAGGTAAAGAGGTACCAACGTCACCAAAAGTAACGACAGCATCATATTAGCTCTCGTACTATTATATGATTTTTAGGGTCAAATATTCGTCAAACTATGCTGTTTTCAGACCCCACTTTTTCTGTTTTTTTTTCTTGTGGGCCCCACCCCACAATTCATTTCTTTAATCTTCAGCAAAAAAAAAACAGAAAAATAGTTTGTTTTTTTTGGCAGATTTATTTACAAATAAATGATGTTAGAGGTTATGAAATACGGAGCGAAATGAGCGAGCTGGATACGCTCTCTCGACGTATTTACGAACGCGAAAATTTTGCTCGAAACGCTCGAAATAGAATAAAGAACGGATTTTAGCAATTTCGAGCGCACGGTGCGCACAGATCGAATAAACGAACGCGCCTTATGAAAGGAAAACAACTTATCATGATGGAACTTGAAAGCACTGGGGCAGGTCGTGACCGTGACTAATGTCAAGAAAACGAAGCATTTTTGATTTTTTTTTATGTGTAACCGCAGGATAGGATACACATTTTCTGCAGAAAGAAGTTAATCGGTAGACAAAAAGGTAGAGCTATCGAAAAATCGGTAGATCCTAAATCTGCCAGTAGTGGTCGGGGGAGGCCCTGTGGCAGGAAGCGGGAAGCAATTAGCGAAGGGGTGCGTTCAGATTGCCGCATCGGTCGTACAGTATGGACGTTACCCCAACTCTGACCGGCCCGACCCCGCACCCGCAGTCCAAACAGGATGCGTAAGGAGCGACTCCAATAGGTGTAAAAACTGCGTGAGGGGTTTGCAATTGGTGGAAAATGGAATTGATCGTGATCCGCGATGTATAGATAGATATTACAGTGGCTAAATAAACCTTTACATACAGTGGCGACAATAGAGGTCCCGCCGCCATTTTGTTCCCAACTTCTTGTTACTTTTAAATATTAATATATAGGATTTAAATGGACATCTATCATGAAATATTGAAATCGACGTATTTGATGACTATTATTAGGTCCATCAAATACGTTGCTTTCCATGTTTTATGAGGGATGTTCACCTAAATCCCATATATTCAGATTTGAAATAAGCAATGGTTGGGAACAAGATGGCGGCGTTTGCAATATAAATATATGGGATTTTAGAACCAATCAAAAATAAGACAGCAATTGGTGTCGCCACTGTGGGTAATAGAGTCACTGTAATAGATATCAGTGATCAAATCACAGTTCGTGATATATCGCTCATCCCTACCACTAACTATTTCTGTCAGTGATTGTCACTAATGTCAGTCACTGCTGCTTATAGTTTTCGCAGTAGGTTATGGTTTCTTTTAATAACATAACAACTTACGTAATTTTTACCAGAAAGACTCTATAAATGGTGCACATTTCTGCTAAAAACATGGACCACGCTTCCAGCACGGGAGGCGTCAAGCCCATGTCCATCGCCGGACGTCTCGAAAGCGATAGGGAACGTTTACTTGGAATGACTGATGCAGAACGAGCATTCAGAAAGCAGTGGCTCAATGATCAAGAACTATCTCCAAATGAACCAAAAGAAGTACCAGAAATGTATAAGGCCCTCCGTAACCCAATCAGAAGATTCTACCGTTTGCCCATGGATTATGTTGAGACATCTTTGGCCCCGGTTATTGGACCCAATAGAGCTATGGTATTCAGATGGGTGACAGCTAAAGTAGGAATTGCGGTTGCGTTAACTTATTGGATGTGGTACTACTATAAATATAACAGCAATACTTGGGAGAAAAAGGGTGGTTGGAGAGCTTCTATTTCTCGCCAGGCCTGCGTTCCTGGGGATCCTGGTTACCCTAAGCTATCTGATCGCTCAGTAGGTGCTGATTATGCTTCTAGGGGATTTAAGGATGTAAAGTTGAATCTATAGACTAGTACATACAATTCATGTATTTTATTTATAGATGCCAACATTAAATTGTAGTATATTAAACTCTGTTATTTATCATTGCCTGGGTATGATTCTTTTTTATTTGTTTATTTGAGTATAGATAGTATATATAGCAATTTGCCATTAAATACAATCGAGAAAATCTAATGTAACAATACACAAGTAAAAACAATGGGTATACAATCTATATAAAAACTATGGAATAAGTACTAGTCACACCCTGTTCCTGAAACTTGTGCAGTCTTCTATCTATGATTTTTGTGAAAGCCTTCAAAGGACATGGCACTATTTAAGTGTAATTTGGCCCTCTGCTGATTTTCCTGATATTTAAATATGTTGTAGTCGACACCAAAATAAGACTTTTTTATCATTGCGCCAAAGTTCTAGGTCTACCGGAACTGCCCGAAAAGTAAGGCCAAAGTAATAAAAGCGGACATCAAGACATGCTGATTTTAATAAATTATTATTCTAAATAAGACAATGTTATATCATCATCATACCATTTTCACATATTATTAACTTTATAAATAAATCTTTTAAATAATCAAAGTTAACAACTTCTTCTCACACGAAATTGACATCCCATCGGGCGTTCCACAGGGTTCTCACTTGGGACCTCTGCTGTTCAACGTTTTTATTAACGATATCAAGTCTTGTTTTATTAACAGTGAGTTCCTGTGCTTTGCGGATGATTTAAAGGTGTTCACCCGGGTCTCTTCTATTGAAGACTGTGCCAGACTACAATCTGACCTCGACAGACTCTCTGAGTGGTGCGCTTTGAGCGGCATGGAGCTCAATGCTTCCAAATGCAAAGCCATTGTTTTCTCCAAGGGTCGTAGCCCTCCACAATTCGCGTACCATATAAACAACATTCCGCTTGAAACTGTCTCACAACAACGAGATCTTGGTGTCATTTTTGACAGCAGTCTCAATTTTATCACCCATATTTCAGACATCACAACAAGGTCGTTAAAACTTGTAGGCTTCAGAGGTGTTCGAGAGATTTTACAAGCATAGATTCTATCAGATACCTTTATTGCTCAATGGTGAGGCCCCTGATGGAGTACTGCTCCTCTGTCTGGTCACCAATGTATTCTAATCATATCAGAGCCCTAGAGCTAGTGCAGCGCAAATTCGTACGTTATTTAGCCTTCAAGGCAGGTATTCCTTCGCTTGAGAACTATGTATATGACTATGACGACCTATACAGACGCTTCAATCTACAACCCTTGGCAGCTAGACGCAATCAAAGAGATTTATATACTTTTTACAAGGTACTGAACTCCATTAGTGATTCCGCATACCTACTGTCCAGAATAGGGCTTCACGTCCCAGCAAGGGACACCCGCTCTGCCATAACCTTCTCAGAAAGAAATAACCGTACAAACTATGGTTTCAATACATTCATCTCCAGAACTTCTCGATTATGTAACACCCATGGTAGCCTGGATTTTTTTGGACCCATAAATAGCTTTAAAAGAGAGCTTAACTCTCTAATGTAATTCTCCTCGTTTGTTTGTGATGCCAAGTTCGATAGCTAAGAATTTCTAGTCATCTTGATCAGTCATTATTTATGTTTGTCCTCTATTTTCTTATACCTATAACTGATTTAATGTTTTACTGTTAATAATTTGTATGTATTTTTATCCTGTTACTACGCCAAGTATTACTGGCCTATGTTTATTTAGTTGTAAGGTACTTAATGTTTCTTGTTGTTTTTTTTTTCTTTTGAAACTTTTAATGGGTCTTGCCCGTAAATAAATAAATAAATAAACTTTATATTTCCATTAGCTACGAGGTGTTTTCCATAGGTATTTCGAAAAATCACATTTTATGAGCACCATATATTATGTTATCTACGTAAAGTACCTATGTGTATAATATGTATCTATATTATGTTTATCTAATCTTATATGAACAAATAATTTTTGACAGTGGCATAGAAAGGGGTGGGGAGCAGGAAGCTCCGCCCTTCCTTCGAAATTCCTCGAAATTCTAAACCAGCGCCCCAGATGATAAATATCGAAAAACCTCGGAAAAAATTTACTACACTGATAAACAAACATGGAAAGAAAAATGAAAAAAAAAAAATTTCATTATTTCCAAGTAGCATCATCTAGCTACTTTTTTAAAGTGAAGTACAGGGTGTCCCTCAACGAACTGGCGCGTTGGAAAATAGACATTGGATTTTAAAAAGACAATTTACTAAAGTCGATGGGTGCAATTCGGCTAAAATATTTTCAAAATTAATCAAAATAGTCAGACTTTTGGTTATACCGTGTTGATGTCAACGTGCCTATTTTAAGCAGTTTAAAATCGAATTGCGATATAGTTATTTTCCTAATAAGTGCGCAAAGTGATACTTTCCCGCACGAAAAAGCAGTTAGACGAACGACGCGAAGCGGAGTTCGGATAAGCTTTGAGTGCGGGAAAGACACTTTGCGCAAGTGTTAGGAACAATATTTTTTCTACGAGTATCTTAAAAAAGTAGACTTTGAATTGTTAAAATAATAGAAAAATCAATCAAATCAAAATCTTCAAAAATCGTTTGAAATCTATTGGAATTCCTCAAAATGTCTTTCAAATTAAATCCCCAAAAATCTTTTAACATCTTCTGGAATTTCTAGAATACCAGCTAAAATATTTTCATGAGAGTCTCTCAAATATCAAAAATTCCACAAATTCCTAGCAGTACAGGCTGGTTCAATTTGGACACCTTTGATAGGAAACATCATGTTAGCTAACTGCTAATTTCAACTAAAACCCTTCATTTTGAATATTAGTTTATTCAGAAACCATCCAAACATTGAAAAATCAAGTATAACTATGGTAATCATGCATAACAAAAATGAGTGTGCAAAGTGATTACTTTGCGCACGCAAATAGAAAAAAAAAGCTTTGACAGATTTGTTTTGGTGCTGTCAGAACTTGTGTAGTTGACAAAATGGAAAATAGCTTTTGAACGCGTTACTATTTACAGAGCTGGGCAAGCTACTTGAAAAAAATAGCTAGCTACAAGCTACTTTATATTGTAAGTACCTAAGTTACTTAGTAGCTCAACTACCTCTTCAAAAAAATAGCTAAGCTATTGGTAAGTTAACTACATATTGAATTAGTGAAAGCTACTATTTAGGCTACCTACTTTTTTTTAAAGTTAAATTGATAAAAACAAAAAAAAAGTGCACCTTTCCTCATATTTTGACCCTTACCTACCGCTACGAGCTGGAAAAAAACTTTAAATATGAAAGTTGTACGGTTTTATCGGAAGTATAAGTTGCTAAAGTTGTAGGTAGGGGTCAAATTATGAGGAGACACCCTGTACCTTACTTAATTTTATTTCATAATATCATCATACAAAAATAAAACTTTAACTTTCTCTAGGAACTGCAGTATTCCTATTTTTGTCAAAAATCATTGGCCATTTATTAAGTTCACTTTGATTACAGTGATCTGTGATTGTGAATGCGAGAATTAAATATGAGACATAGGACATGTACAGAGATAAGTTGAAACTAGTCTAAATAATAAGGCAGGATAAGATTTTTCCGGAAAAATAGTAATTATAGCTTAAGCAACAAAGTAAGTTCAACTACCGAAAATAGCCTAGGTAGCTTGCTTTAATAGCTAGCTACTTTTCACAGTAGCTTATGAATACATGAAACACATTACCATAAGCTACAGCTACAAGCTACTTTTTCCAAAAAATAGCTTGAATAAGTTATTAGCTACCAAAAAAGTAGCTAAGTTAGTAGCTTAACTACTTGGTAGCTAACTCCTGCCCAGCTCTGCTATTTAATGATAATTCCTATCAAAATGGTTAACTGTTTTGTGTGTAACGTGGTTACAGGACGATACTTGCGTAGATTGGTTCGAATTCTTCAACAAGATAAAAATCTGAATCGAAAGAGAACCTAATTAACTCTCTTGCACAGATCAAAATTCCGATTGCCAGATCAAAATATTAATGAAGATACGAAAATATTCGCAAATTATGACCAGAGAATTCAAAAATATATTGAATTAGAAGGTAACGAGACTGCTATTAGCATGGAAGTTTTAGTTCGGAAATGAACAGAAAAATGTTTTACGTACAAGTTTGAAATATATCAAACTGGAAAGCAAAATACGTGTTGTGTACAGTTGTGTACCCTCTATATGAAATAGATTTGATACTACAACTTTTAAAAGTCAAAAAAGAATCGATTCTCAACTGTCTATTTCCTATTTAAAATAGGCACGTTGACATCAACTCGGTATATAACCAGAAGTCTGACCATTTTGATTAATTTTGAAAATATTTTAGCCGAATTGCATCCATCGACTTTAGTAAATTGTCTTTTTAAAATCCAAAGTCTATTCTCCGACGCGCCAGTTCGTTGAGGGACACCCTGTACTTCACTTCAAAAAAGTAGCAAGATTTGGAAAATAATGAAATATTTTTTTCATTTTTCTTTCCATGTTTGTTTATATGTGTAGTAGGTTTTTTCCGAGGTTTTTCGATATGTATTATGTATCATTAGCTTTTTCATATTTCTCTGGTATCCACAACATTTTTTAGGATATTATATTGACATACACAATTTTATTACAACCCATATTGTCATACTTTCTCATATCTGCTAATAAAATAAATAAAAATGCTTTTCTGGGACGCTGTTTTAGAATTTCGTGGAATTTTGGGGGGAGGGTGGAGCTTCCTGCTCCCCACCTCTTTCTACGCCACTGTCAAAAATTATTTGTTCGTATAAGATTAGATAAACATAATATAGATAAATATTATACAAATATTTTACGTAGATAACATAATATATGGTGCTCGTAAAATGTGATTTTTCGAAATACTTATGGAAAACACCTCGTAGCTAATGTAATATAAAGTTAATAATATGTGAAAATGTTATGATACTTGTTTGAAGTTGAGTTGATTATTGTCTAGATATAACATTGACTTATTTAGAATAATAATTCATTAAAATGAGCATTTCTTTATGTCCGTTTTTATTACTTTGGCCTTACTTTTCGGGCAGTTCTGGTAGACCTAGAACTTTGGCGCAATGATAAAAAAGTCTTATTTTGGTGTCGACTACAACATATTTGAATTTCAGGAAAATCAGCAGAGGGCCAAATTACACTTAAATAGTGCCATGTCCTTTAATAGGTAAAGTGTAGGTCCCTGGTGTATCGCCTTATATGTAGGTATTTGTACAGAGAAAATTTATGTAGACCTGCTTCAGAATCCAAAATCAATTTGAGGCAGTATTCCTCTTAGTATTGTAAGAACATTTTATCAAATCCTGTTAGCAAAACAATCAAAATACCTTAAGAGTTGCAGTAAAGATTAATTCAATAATAATTTGTTTTGGTAGCAGATGGCATGCTTTCCTTAGTAATTAAGTCTATGTGAAAGTGTTGCTTGTAAAAGTAAGTAGGGGCCCTATTTCTTCTGGAAATCGTTTTGAAGCTCTCCACTCCCTATAACTTTGAGCAAGTGCCATATTCATAAGGCACTTTCTTACACCAAGCAGCTCATCTCTGATGAGATGTTTCTAGAGGTTGTGTTTAAAAGATTTTCAGAAAATGCTAGCTGGTGCAATTTCCTACTCGTTAGTTGATAACCGTTGTTTCAAGAGGCGAAAGTCTAAACTATTTTATTTGCTTAATTAACACTCTATTTACATTCACAAATATTAATAGCGATCTGATATGTGGAGTAGGTATATTAGTTAGATCATTAGGCCCCTTCCGAAAATAACCCTTTTCACGTGGCTCCGTTTAACATACTGCTCAAATTCGAGTAGTAGGTATCCATCTTTGTAACCGGGTTAGAAAACGGTTTGTCATTTCTCTAACCATTTTGTAACCCGGTTAGTTAAACCGGAGCCACGTGAAAAGAACTAATGAATTATCTTTTTAGAGAAATTTCGTGAGCTTTGTGTGAGCCCCACTTCTTCAATATTTACATTTTCAATTTTTTGAAAATTTAGTTTTATTGTTGTTAGCTCGGTTCATGATGATGTAAGATTTTCCTAGAAATGAGTACATATGAATTTATTAATAAGTTTTTCAAGTTAAATTTTACTTTCCAGGAGTTTTTTCCATAGACCAACTATTTTCAGCATTTTCTGAAACCTTCTTAGTCCTTTTCGGCTATTTTTTTGCTTTACATGTAGCTAGGTAAAGTGAAGCAAACGTAAAAATTTTGTTTAATGGAAGCCATTTTTCACAGAGACATTGCCTCTGCCTACTCTAATGAGCCATTGTCTCTTTTCTGAGTTTTCTGGTATTTGCCTTTATGTATAAGTTAAAGGATATTTAGAAGCCTGCCAAGATATTCCAATTCAAAAGAGATATGCGCTTTTGACAATTTATTTAGTTGAACATTTTATACATCGTTGGGTTGGGTGCTCATACTGATGTTCCAATATTTACAATGTTTTAGGATTGTATTTCAGAAAAAAATCTTGATCATGTTTTTTTTATTTCTTGTTTAACAAATACGAATAAATAAATTACTGAATTAAGTTTACTAAAGCAGCAATAACTTACTACTAGGTGGAAAACAAAATAGAAACAATGTTGTCACTTCTTAAAAGGACTGGGTTTACCTATCCAGAATACTGCTATGGATTACGAGTAAAATGAGGCCACTTCTTAATTTCTGCAAAAAGTCTATGGCCAGGACTAGCAGTTCCGCTGACTTGTCTTGCTCCAAATAGTTTATAATTTTTGTCCAGCTCTCCAAGCTCTACGCCACAAGCCAGTAACTTTTTTAGAGCTAGAAACATGTTTGAGTTCGGGAGGATATCTGAAAAGAAGGTATAGCTACATTGCAAAACTGCAGAGTTTTAATTTGTTAACCATTTTTTATTTAATTAAATATAGATATTGGAAAACACTAGTATATTATTATAGGTACCTACCAAAATGGTCAGTATTCAATCCTAAAAAATTGTAATTAGCTAATTTTCAAGCCGAATAAAAAAATCGGCCGCAATATAGGTACCTACCCGCTTACTAAACCATTTGAATGTGGAAATTTTTACTAGAACGTTAATAAAAGAAGAACCATCTCAATTCTGCTTGCGCAACTCTGTTTCTGATGGTTTTTCTTAGTTCTAGTTCTAAACTACTTGGTTAATTTAGGCTACTTGAAATAAGTGGCTCTATTAATAAAAAAATATAACTGGCATCCTGAAGACACTCTTTATAAAAAAAAAGAACAAACAAAAAAGGTCAATGTGAAAAGTGAACATTCAAAAACAGTTCTCACCTGTATAGTTTCCTATAAGTGCAATTCCTATAGACCTAGAGTTATATCCACGAGTATGGGCTCCAATTCTATGCCAACCAACACCTTCATACACTCTTCCGTCATCTCCAATCATAAAACTATATGAAATTACATAATTAAATGATGGGTACACATTCTTGCAAGATATTCAGAAAAGAAATTGCACATTGCAGACTATGATTTCTGATTCTTCATGGATTTTTTCAATGTAGGAATGAAACAACTAATAAAACCAAATGCAAACTTAAAGCATTGAAAAGGCGAGTACCTACCTACATTTCTGGAATGTATATTCATTGTACAATTATTGCTATCGAATTTTTCAGAAACCGAGTTAATAATTGCAAAATTATAAACGTATATACTTACACTTACATAGGTATGTAATTGCCTTGGGGGGTGCGCAAATGTTAAAATAAGTGTACAGCAAAATTAATTATTAGGGTATTCAGAAGTATTTTAAATATAAAAATAATTTATTAGAGGATTCAACAGAGATTCAAAAACATTCAAATTGTATTCAAAAGCAGATTTAAATCTCTGCGCACCCCTGGATGTGCCTAGTCACCCTAGTCTAATATGTATAGCAATTTTTATCAACCAAAAGACTATTTTATCTATTCTATGACAAGTTTGGGTTAAAATCAAAATCATAAAAGAATCAAAAGAGTGCGATTTTGAAACATGTGGATACCCACATGTTTCAAAATCGCACTCTTAGTAATATAACGCCAAATAATAATGTACTTACTTATACCCTATATCATGAAATTCCAGAGTATCCATATGAAAATTTTGAATTTCCCTAAGTATAGCTGTACATTTTTCTTGTGTATTGCATTTTGGCGTAACTGTATGATGAATAATGACATTGATAACAGGAATAATCAAATAGTCAAAAGCGTGAGGTCTTCTGGCATTCCATTGGACTCTAGTGATTATGTTTGGGCAAATAGTTGGCAAATCTAAAAATAATATTCGGAGAGTATAACTGAAAATTAAAAACCAAAATAAATGAAGAAAAATATACCTATATAGGGTTGTCGTTATGTATGGAAACCGCCTAATATTTCTGAACGCGCTTAAGTGCAATGTACCATATTTCCCACCCTGGGGGTTTTTGGGAATACCCGATTCAATGGTGGTATTTACAATGTTGCCAACTTTACCGTTTCTAAGATGTCGTATGTAACTTGATTTTTTTAAATGAAAGTCCGTCCTTATGTGTATCGTAATTAATTCAGCGTCTTAAAATTACTGAAACCCCTTAATGCCACACCTCTATTTCACTTGGTTTTTGAAATATTGTAGCACAGCGTTTTTGTTGAAATGTATGGAAACGATCTCGTATCTCAGAACAGGCTCTAGAAAAATGTGATTGTACGTATTCAAGATTTATATGGGAGCTGGAAAGCCCAAGTAGGAAATATTGTAGACTTTTCTAAAGCCTATTCTGAGAAACGAGACCGTTGCCATAAATTTCAACAAAAAAGCTGTGTTGCCATATTATTTCAAAAACCAAATCAAATGGAGGCTTGGCATTTAGGGGTGTTAGTAATGTTGGGACGCTGAATTAATTGCGATAAAAATAAAGACGGATTTTCATTTAAAAAAATCAAGTTCCATACGACATCTTAGAAACGGTAAAGTGTGCAACATTGCAAATACCACCATTGAATCGGGTATTCCCAAAAACCCCCAGGTTTGAAAAGGGTACATTGTTCTTAAGCGCGTTCAGAAATATTAGGCCGTTTCCAAACATAACGACAACCCTGTATAGCGAAGGTGGATCTAACAAGACCGGAACCTAACCATTAAAGATACAAAGTGCTCCATTTGAGAAAAAAAAAACTAAAATCTATTATTTAGAGTACCTACTTAACCGAGGTTGAAAAGCTCAATGAACAACCCTCATATACATGAGGTCTACCAGAAATTTCGAAACTGAAATGTAATCTTGATGGAATAATAACGCAAATCTTTTACTTCATGAATTCCTTCGAACTTACTAAATCTAAGCTGATTCAATGAAGAATAGGATGATAACCAGCTTTCCTGGTAAATTTTTTGATTTCGAGCCGGGCCCAAACAATGACATGACTTAGTGCCGAAACCTTGGATTGTTTGATTAAAATTTTTAAATAACTGACGGAAAAAGCCGAAAATAATATATTTTATCGCCCTATAACTTAATTTTTGGATTAGACCTTTTCTTACCAAATAAAGGATATTTTCGAAAAAACTTGACTGTGAGGTTGAGCCTAGTGCCTGGATTTCTCGAAAATAGGAACATTTTGAGATTTGATATGGAACAACAGACGCTCTCATAACAGGCTTGTTCAACAATAGCGAGTTTGTTAGAAATGTTTTTCATTCATAATGTGCGTCTGCATAATCCACACAAGAACAACTGATAGTTATAATAGGTATACCTGTATTTGGAATGATCATGATAAGATGAATGTTACTTATCTCACTTATGTAATATGACAAAAAATAATTATCTATTCCTTACTTACCTAGGTCTTTTCCAGCCAAAACCAATTCCAAAATAATTCCCAATTTACTTATTAAGAATGCAGATCTCATGTTTTTCACAAAACTAAACAAAAATGAAAACTGAATCACTTTAATGAAAAAATAATAATTAATGAAAATCCAGTCAATGAACTGTCATTAAAATACAACAAGGACGTGATTTTAAATAAAATAATAATTATTGTATCTATAATTTGCTTCCTCATAGTAGGCAGTTTAAAATATGTATTAAATCCAAGTTATAAATTTGTCCGTATTATCTAACAAGGAAAAACGTCAAATCAAAAAATACTGACGAGCAAGAAATAGCTAGCCCAGCAATTTCATGCTCTAAGCTCAGTGTGGCTGTCCCTGATCAGGGGGTTTGCAGAGTGGTCGGCTTTGACGAAATGATTATCGCAAAGATCTTTAATGTGTCGATCTATTGGTTGAAGGTCAGAGTCCCTCCTGAGTGTAGTGTTCCTGACGAACCATCGAGCGTTCATGATGTTCCGAAGGAATCGATTTTCCGGGCTCAGAAGTGGAAGGCGGTTGTCTGGAGTGGTCGTGGTGTACCAGAGACTGAAGCACCATATGTCAGAATAGGCCGGATATATAGTTTACAAGTGTCCAATTTTGTTCTTGTATTCAACCTGCTGAGGCGGTTGAGTAACGGGTGCAGCTGTCTGTACTGGGCTCGGGCCTTATTCCTGGCGTTGTCTGGACTTGGCGTTTTCAGTGAGAAAGAAACTATGTGTATCTATCTATACGTACAAAACTATTAAATTCTTGGTATTACGTGCAGCCGCGAAGCTGTAAAATATCTAGGTGTATATGTTGGCAGAATTACAGGATGACAGAACAACAAAATGATAAACATTTTTTTCCAGAATTATGCCAAAACGGGAGGCCCCAGTGGCCCGCAAGCTGTAGACTGACAGAGTGTACAGTGATATCTGCGATGTTGTATGCTGCTGCGATTTGGAAAGAAGTCCTCATATATAAATAATATCGTAAAAAACTGGAGGGAGTTAGCGGAAAGATTAGCGATAGCAATCTCCTCATTCTATAGGATGGGTATCTACACAAGCGGTGCTGGCCATTGTGGGAATGCCACCAATCGACCTACCGATGGAGGAATAAAAGATGATAAAAGGTAAAACCCTTTTTTTTTGATTTGCGGAGGGAAGTCATGGGTGGGGACTTCCCTCCGCAAATCAGTCTTGCCTTTTCTTTGCTTTCCTCCTAAAATTACTCTGATTAGTCCATTTAGTCCACTGAAATGTATTCTTTTTCTTATTCAATTTGAACTTGATAACGAAAAAAAAAATAGGCAAGAGGGCATCTCAAAATAAAACACAATATAATACAATAAACACATTTTTATTCGCAAAAATAAATACATGTCAAAATCAAAAATGGTCTGGAGCATGGGCCGACTTTTAGTTAGATCTGCAGGATTCAGTATCTGCCGGAGTTTCGTCGTTGTCTTCGAATTTAGGTGCCGCGCTTGACGGACGCATTGTTAAATTACTGCGGTTCCTGCTGCATCTTTCCGGTATAGTTTTTAGAAGTGCCAACTTTTCAGCTAGCTCTTGCTCTTGGGGCAACTTCTCTTCATCACCACGTTGGGGGCCATCGGATGTTTGACAATCAACTTCTGGGGGCTTCTGTTGCGGCTCTACATCTTGCGGTGGTTCATTCTGTTGGGGCGCTTCCGATGCGGGTTCGCCTTCATTCACCTGCTTTTGGTCTTCAGGAACGCGATCAGTATCGTGGTTTTTCAGATCTTTCCCTTCCATTTTCAAAAAATAATTAATATTTAAAGAATATCGGGACTTGAAGCAAAAGTTTTGAAACGATCTGTCAACGCCCTGGAAAATTATTTTTTGTTCCCAGTGCTTGTGGCGCCATCTATGAACATCAAGCTAAAATTGAGGGTTATAATGTCCCAAGGTACAAAACATGCTGCCAAACATAATTATTGATGAAAATTAACGAAACTTTATATTTGCGCTTAGTTTTAGAAGGGTTTTCTGCTGGCAGCATGTTTTGTACCTTGGCACAGAATAACCCTTAATTTTAGCTTGATGTTCATAGATGGCGCGACAATCACTGGGAACAAAAAATAATTATCCAAGAACCCTTTTCACGTGGCTCCGGTTTAACAAACCGCTCAAATTCGAGTGGTATCGATCAAGTCACTTTGTAACCGGGTTAGAGAACGGTCGGTATGTCATACTTGACATACCGCTACTAACCATTTTGTAACCCGGTTAGCGGAGCCACGTGAAAAAGACTATTGAGTTGACAGATCGTTTCAAAACTTTTGCTTGAAGTCCCGATATTTTTAGATATTAATTATTTATTGAAAATGGAAGGGAAAGATCTGAAAACCCACCATACTGATCGCGTTTCTGAAGACCAAAAGCAGGCGAATGAAGGCGAGCCTGCATCGGAAGCGCCCCAACAGAATGAACCACCGCAAGATGTTGAACCGCAACAAAAGGCCCCAAAAGTTAATTGTCAAACATCCGATGGCCCCCAACGTCGTGATGACGAAAAGTTGTCCCAAGAGCAAGAGCTAGCTGAAAAGTTGGCACTTCTGAAAACTATACCGGCAAGATGCAGCAGGAACCGCAGTAATTTAACAATACGTCCGTCAAGCGCAGTATCCAAATTCGGGGACGACGACGAAACTCCTCCGGCAGATACTGAATCCTGGAGCTCTGACTGAAAGTATTAGGCCCATGCTCACAGACTATTGTTGATTCTGACGTACATGTATTTATTTTTGCTAATAAAAATTTGTTTAATGTATTATATTTTGTTTTGTTTTGAGGTGCCCTCTTGCCTATTTTCAATTTGTTATCAAATTCAAATTGATTAAGAAAAATGAATACATTTTTCTGGACAAATCAGACTAATTTTAGAGAGGAAAAGAAAAGGCAAGGCAATAACTAATATGGTACCTACATGTTTTTTGCATCTCTGATATCTATAATTTGGATGAAACTGATGATGTTACTAACGTACGGCAAGCGTGGTACAGAAAGTTCAGAAAATCAAAATCAGTAATTATGAAAAGAACGAGCACTACGACCAGTTCTTCACTGGACCTGGGACCTGGACATGTCAGAAGGGGCTTCTACTTCTAAATTCAAGCAGCTTAAATTTGAAAAAAAAAAAGCAATATCGTACGAATGACGTGTTCGATGATGTTTCTTATTTTGTGACATCACTATCGAGATACTATCGATATGACAAATTCGTATCGATAAGTCGAGCCCTCCTCTAGCCTGTGCGTGGTCTGCGGACTCAGCGGGAGCGAACTGAGCGAACTAACTGCGTCCTATGTCGTCCTATTTCTCTTCTCGGTCTGTGTGAGTGGTCTTTGTGGTGTGTTTCTGTATTTACATTTATCAAATTCCGAATTGTCTGAAGAAAAATGTACGGATCAATGTTGGGGTTGGGGTAATCGCCCAATGTTTTCTGTGTATATCAAACAAAAATCGTTCATAAACGTTAACAGATTTATATTTTAAAGTATGAAGTGTTTTGTCATTTGAAATGGAGCCCCCCAAAATCTCCTTCAGTTTTACAAAATCATTCAAAAAAACAAACATTATTTTGAACACTGCTACTCCAAAGGAAAATGAGAAGAAGGGTGAAGTTATTGAATGTCTTGAAGAACAATCCATTAAAATCAAAGAGTGAGTATCTACTATCTATAGTAGTTTATAAGTGTATAATCTATTACATATACTTAAAGAAAATACCTAGTTGAAGATTTTATTGTAAGGTTACGTTACGATACGAGTTTTCGTTTATTTTAAACTTTAGCTTTCATTCAACTCCAAAATACCGAGGAAAATACTATCAAAAACTTAATGAAATAATTCGAGTGTATGTACTATTAATGTATCAGGTACTGGCAGTATTAGAGTCTTTTTGCCTTGTGAAGTTTTATAGAAGTACCTAAATGATTGAGTATAGGCTGAGGTAAAGGCTATTTATGTACTCTTTGTTGGTGTATTTTACTGGCTATGTTGATTGGCAAAGATGCAAAAATAATAAATTTATCTCGAAATTTATCAATAAAAGAGTCCCGATAGATGGAAAATCTTCACAGTGACTCCAATTCCCGAGAATAATAAAACTAAAAAAGTACCTAGATGAACACAGACGAATTAATATGGTACATATGATTTAAAAAAAACTATTTAGAATTGCATATCAAAGATCAATTATTGTTGTTGGTACATTTAAAGATTAATATATAATTATCGGTTTATAACGTTCTACATCTTCCGATTCCCTATCTCCAACCATCTCTGTCTATCCAGGCATCCTCTTCTAAGCCTCTGTCTAACCGGCACGTTGGCGCTTTGATAAAGGACGACAGGACGCCCTACTCAAAGCCAAGCAACGCGGTGCCGGGTTGGAGATTGGATGGGTGACCGCAGTAGTACGGGACGGTGGGTCGACCGCGCTGCCGCCAATCATCTGATCTGCAAGTATGAATGAGAAGTATGAATGAGAGAAGTATGAATGAGAAGGAGTAGAGCCCATACGAATGACATACAAAAAGCCTATAAAGGCTGCAGTGTAGAGTATGGGCTCGAAAGGGTGAAACCTGTCTTTCATTTCCTCGTCTACTCCACTTCTCCAGCAACGGCGCCCGCAGAATTTGTCGCAGGGGGGGGGGGGCAAATAAACTGCTCTTGGGGGAATCGTGGAAACCGCACCGCAGGCGGAAATTTTTTTTTCGGCCACACCCAAATTTTGCTAATTGTAACTAATATAATAAACATTAAAAAATAAAACAATTTGGAAATACTTTTATTTCGGACGGGAAAAAAAGTAAATTCTCTGCATCTTTTGATAGGTGCACAAATTACTTTTTCTGCGATTGACAAGAAATGTCAGCATTTTTGACTGGTTGACAGGTCGCAAAACTCAATATTCTGGTATTTTAATTTTGTTTCAATAGTTGCTAAGAAATCAATGAATAACAATACGGGAAACACTTTTCCGGCCTAGGCCGGGAAAGTGTGCGTGTCGCGTACTATCCTAACAAACCGTACCTTAAAATCACTGATCAGTTGGATTTTTGGAATCATATACCCCAAATTTAACAAAAAAACAATTAGTTGTTATCAAAAAAAATAAAAATGGAAATAGGTACCTAATTATTTTTATTTATTTTTTTCTCTTTTATTTTTAAGTATTTATATTAAAAGCCAGGGGGGGGGGCAGAAGTCACTTTCAAAAATGGTGTTCCGCGAATAAACTTGGCAGTATCATTGATGATGTCCTGAAGAACATCTATACCGAGTCTCATCTCCTTAGGCTCCGTCTGACATGGAGAAAACGGGACATAATGGAAATATCGATAAAAAATCAAAAGTCACTTTCAGACGGGGCCTAAGGAGATGAGACTCGGTATAGGAGTACTTTAGGACATCGTCAATGATACTACCAAGTTTAATCGCGGAACTCCATTTTTCACGACCTACATTTTTTTTTTTTTTCGATTCTTCTGCGTCTTTATAATCACGCAGGCGAATGGAGAAAAATTTATATTTTTCGAAACAAAAGTTTAAAATTTAGTTATGACATTATCCATGTTGTCTTAAAAATGGCTGCTAAAACAGGCTGCTAACTTCACATTTTGGCTGCTGTAACTGGCTGCCAACTTCACACTTTGGCTGCTGTAATGCGGCTGCTAGTTTCACACCGGTTTTGTATTTAATACTTGGATTTACAAAAAAAGTTATTCAAATACTGGGCATGTGTACTCAAAATACTTAAAATATTGCAAATACCCCAGAAAGTAAAAACTAATTGAAATACCCAAGAAAGTAATTCAAATACTTCACCAAATGTGAAATTAACATGTCCTAACAAGTATACAGTAAAGATACCAGTAGGTATAGATATAAAATCCTTGGATAGGTTTCCTGTCATAAAAGAAGTTTTTCATAGGTACAATACATGTCTTCCGTCATCAGCCCCTATAAAAAGACTTTTCAGTTTTGCAGAATAGTCAACACACCTCGAAGACATGCGCTTTCTGACTTGCATTTCGAACTTTATTTCCTAATCAACCTTTTCTAGATAAATTTTAAATCGTTAAATTGAAAGTAGGCCTTTCTTTGTGATACAGAAAGCAATAATTTCAGATTTAGGCATGGATCCCTCAATTTATAAATTCTTGAAATTCGAATAACATTGGTCCTTTATAGGACTAAAACTAAGGTCTATAAACCTAGCAGTCCCAAGGTGGAAAAAAACTTCGGGAACTATATAATAATTAGGTGCTTTTTAGGTGCTAATTAGGGCCGCTAATTAAAAATTAGGTGCCCCTTTAGTTTTTGAGTAAATAAAAAAAAACTAAGGGACTGCTAGGTTTACAAAAGCTAGCAGTCCCCTATAGTAAAAAATATTTTTTTAAAATTACTTCTTTGTATCAGAATTAGGTGGTTTTTAGGTGCTCCTAAATAGTCCAAGAAAAAATAGAATTGATTAAGTAATTATTAACTGAGTTACAGATTTTTTTTTAATTATTAGGGGACTGCTGGCTTTACGTTTACATGTTGGTGTGTCAGAACGACAAAAAAACTTCGGGATCATCTATATAATAATTAGGTGCTTTCTAGGTGCTAATTAGGGCCTCTAAAAATTAGGTGCTCCTCTAGTTTTTGAGAAAATCAAAAAAAACTAAGGGATTGCTAGGTTTATGAAAGCTAGTAGTCCCCTATAGGGAAAAATATTTTTTTCAAATTTCTTCTTTGTATCAGAGGTAGGTGCTTTTTAGGTGCTCCTAAATAGTCCAAGAAAAAATAGAATTGATTAATTATTAACTGAGTTACAGATTTTTTTTTAATTATTAGGGGACTGCTGGTTTTACGTTTACATGTTGGTGTGTCAGAATGGCAAAAAAACTTCGGGATCTATATAATAATTAGGTGCTTTTTAGGTGCTTATTAGGGCCTCTAATTAAAAATTAGGTGCTGTAACTCAGTTAATAATTAATCAATTCTATTTTTTCTACAACTATTTAGGAGCACCTAAAATGCACCTAATTCTGATACAAAAGAAATTTTTGGAAAAATATTTTTCACTATAGGGGACTACTAGCTTTCATAAACCTAGCAATCCCTTAGTTTTTTTTGATTTTCTCAAAAACTAGAGGAGCACCTAATTTTTAGAGGCCCTAATTAGCACCTAGAAAGCACCTAATTATTATATAGATCCAGAAGTTTTTTCCATTGTGACACATCAACATGTAAACGTAAAGTCAGCAGTCCCCTAATAATTAAAAAAAAATCTGTAACTCAGTTAATAATCAATCAATTCTATTTTTTCTTCGACTATTTAGGAGCACCTAAAAAGCACCTAATCCTGATACAAAAGAAATTTTTGGAAAAATGTTTTTCACTATAGGGGACTACTAGCTTTCATAAAACTAGCAATCCCTTAGTTTTTTTTCGATTTACTCAAAAACTAAAGGAGCACCTAATTTTTAATTAGAAGCCCAAATTAGCCCCTAAAAAGCACCTAATTATTATATAGATCCCGAAGTTTTTTTGCTATTCTAACACACCAACAAGTAGACGTAAAGCCAGCAGTCCCCTTATAATTAAAAAAAAATCTGTAACTCAGTTAATAATTAATCAATTCTTTTTTTTCTTGGACTATTTAGGAGCACCTAAAAAGCACCAAAAAAAAAATAGAGGCCCTAATAAGCACCTAAAAAGCACCTAATTATTATATAGTTCCCGAGTTTTTTTTCCACCTTGGGACTGCTAGGTTTATAGACCTCTAAAACTAGGGAACAGAAATTAAGAATTAAAGAATTGTGTAATCCCTGCATCAAACAGATTACAGGTACTAATGGAGAAACTGTCAAAGACAATAACCAAATATATCGCAAGTTACTCAGAAAGTTACTGCATTGAACATTGCTGCAGTTTTGGCTCAAATGCTATTAACAATAATTATCTTCACTTTTATACATCAAGGTTGCAATTGCATTAAAAAGAGTGAGAAAAAGAGTAACTGGCTGGCCCTACAGTGTACTCAAGTCAGGTGGTTACGAACTAGAACATCTGCTCTGAAAAGTGAATTCCATGAGTTTTCAAAAATAGATAGGCGCATGATTGTGCGACAATTTATAAAATAAGTTCATAGCCATTTTAAAAATTCTGTTTGATAATTCATCCTCAATTGCCTTTAGTGGATGAAGGCAATTAAGGATGACTAAAACACTAGTACTTATACTTATTACTTATCTAACTTTTGTATTTATCCACATGCCTAACCCTATTTTGAAGATTTTATGTTAGACATTTTGACGATTATTTAATAGTTATTGAATGAATGAAATCAGTTAGGTACTGTAGGTACTGTATTTATAATTCTGAATGTAGCTGAATAATATAGTTATATAAGGTTGTTCCAAAATATATTGACATAAGTATGAGTATTGAGTATGGTTGAATGATGAAGTTTTTGTTGCTATTTTTTGATAAATATAAATAAAATGAACATTAACTTTGCTTTTCCACCCACTACTCACTTTCTCATGAAAAAAAATATATGTACCTATGCATGTACCATGTACCTAATCGAACCAATTTATTTTTTTATAGTGCAATCATAGAAGAAGCACGTCCACTGGTAATTCCCCTCAAAGATGACCAAAAAAATTTGCTTGATCGTATCAAAGCAGCAAGCAAATGGGATAAGAAAAAGGAGAAAGAAGACACCCGTCCTGATTCTGAACTAACAGCCGATGAATTAGCTGCCAGACAGCTGATTAGAGGCAAGTGACAATAATACTAAACTCAACTCAACTCAACTGTGCTTTATTGTGTAGATATAAATATTTCTTCACAAAGGCTGATCCTATGTCTAAAAAATGAAGTACACAGTTGTAGTAAGGAAAAATATCTAAATGTATACCTACTTGAAATAGAAAAGCTCACAAAACATTTCAGAAATAAAAATACATATCAACAAATTTAAAGTAAAATCTATGCAAATATGCACAAATAAATAATGTGCAGGTGTTTGAAAACTGAAAATATAGGATTAGCCTCGGGATTAGCATTACCACGTCTGACATACCATAGGTATCAATGGAAAAATATCAAATACAAAAAAAAATTCTTCAAAACTACTTGTGAATACATTTGAATATATAACTTCCACAATAAGATACTGAAATCATCTTTAACTGCAATAACTGGAAAGCATACTAATATCAGTAAATCACAATTCCATTCTTAAAATCGCTAGAAATCACAAATCATATATTTATAATTCTGATTGGCAAGCCATAAAATGATTGGTATCGAAAGCTGGTATGTGCAAAGGTGCTGCATGAAAAGTCTCTCTATGCACAATTCTACCCAGATTGTAGATAAGTAATCTCTATGATCTGTATTTAAAGAGTATTCAAGTAAGAAATCGACTACACCTATCCCAATTAATGACCTAAAATTGCTGGTTTTCTGGCTAAAAAATCCTGCACGTGTGTATTATATCAAGCTGACCAAATCAAGTCAAGCGATATTCTTCTAGATAAGGTCCTAAGGCACAGTATGAGAGCCAAAAGAAATCAATATCTCTGAATTAACCAGAATATCTTTAAACAAAAACCAAAATCTGAAATGATCTGGATACATTTGCCTATACATGAGAAATAAAATTTAACGCACTTTAAGGTAGCGGACAGGCAGCAATCCTGTTAAGTGAAGACCAAAAATAAATTAAATAATAATACTATTTCTTTTTTTTTTTTAGAGGCTAAAGCACGTTTAGAGAATGGCCATGAATCAAACAACCACAAAGTATCAGTTCTCCCCCTAACAGAAGAATCAGCAACTTTAACTGGAGAAAAAGAACCAACTTTGGAAGACTATGAATCTGTTCCGATTGGTGACTATGGTCTAGCACTTCTTCGGGGCATGGGTTGGAAAGATGGCATGGCAATTGGGAAAAATGTAACGAAATCTGCTGTTCCTAGTTTACCAGAATTAAGACCCAAAGGTCTTGGTCTTGGAGCGACAAAAATTGAACTGCCAGAACAGAAGGCCACAGATGAGGATGGGAATGAATTAATTTTGATGAAGAGGGGTTTTGCGAAAGTTGTTATGGGGCCACAAAACGGAAATTATTGTGAGGTAAATATCAATTTTGAATATAATAATGCAGTCCAGTGAAATTCGTTTTTAGGTTCAAGGTTTTGATGAAGAAGCTGGCAGGGTTATTGTAAAAGTATATCCTAAAGGAGATATAATCAATATTAATGAAGTCATGTTGGTACCAGTGACAAAGGAAGAATTTTCAAAGGGTTCCAAAATTTTAAGTGAGTTATTTTTCACAGCATTAATTTATTTAAAAGAATATTAATCCTTTTAGACAATGCAAAATATGAACAATATAGAAAATTATCTGACAAGAAGCTAGAGAGTTTTAAAGTGGAAAAACAAAAATCTGATTCTGAAGATTCTGATCGTTCAAGTAAAGCTACAACCTCAGCTGCAACTTGCAGTAAATATTCTAAAAGATCTCCATCCTCTGAAGGTGAACTTGACACTTCAAAATATTCTCACAAAAACAGACAATCAAGAAGCCGGTCAAAGGATGAAGACAGCAAAAAATCAAGAAGTAATATAGGTATGGATAAAAGCGAAAAGGGCACAAAAAAAACGAGAAGTAGGTCAAATCATTGGTTAGAAACTGATAGACCTGAATCTAGAAGTCGATCCAAAGATAGAAACAGTAGGAAAAAGTATAGATCAAAATCCAGAAGCTGGTCCAAGGATAAAAAGAAAGATGATGAAGAGAGAGCATTGAGAAGGAGGTCTGATAAGGACAGAGAAAAGTCGAGAAGCACGTCTGAGGATAGCTATCAAGAGAGGAAAAAATCTAGGAGTAGGTCAAATAAGGATAAAAGAAAAAGTTCAAGGGATACATCAGATGAGGATAAAAGAGAATCCAGAAGCAGATCCAAAAAATCTAGGAATAAGTCAAAAGATAAAATTAGCCGTCATTCTTCAAAACATAAAAGTTCTAAAAATCGTTCAGGATCTATAGAAAAATCATACTCCAAAGAAAAGAAAAAGAAAAAGTCTAGCCATAAGTCTAAAAAAGTCAGACATTCTTCTGAAGATAGTGATAGAAGCAGGAGTACATCCAAAGATAAGCGTGCCAAAAATAGGAAATCAAGGGAAACTAGTTATAGCAGCGATTCTGATCTTAAAAAGGAAAAAAGAAGAAAGAATAAGTGTAAGTCAAGACATAGGCAGGCAAGCAGTAGCGATAGTGAGGATAGAAAATACCGCAAAAAGAAATAAGTTAAAAAAATTCAGTATGCTTCCATTTTTGAATGGAGTACCACCGCTGTACGGGAATTATATTAGATACAACCCACTTTAAAACAAGGTGAACTGAGACACACGTATTTGACCATAGTATAATCTTGACCCCCAGGCGATCAGCTGATATTTCTATACTTGGGGCCTGTTACTTATATAATATCACCTAACGCAGATGGACAGATCAAGTTCTTTAAAATGCATAAACAAATATGATCCTGTGTCTGTTTTTAGCTCCTACTAATAATTAATTTGTTCTATACAACCCTTGACTATTGTTATAGAACTATTGTCTCAAATAAAACTGCATGAAGTAAACAAAAAATATAGTGTGATGATTTTGCATAGATATTGATAATAGCATAAGTGTTACTGGTGGCTTTTTGTTTACACATGCTTTCGTTATTGGAAAAGTTTGAAATTAAAACCTTATTCAGCGACCAGAAGAAAATGACTGTGGTATTAAGAAATCTGTTGGTTTAAAAATTTATTTATTTGTCATCTTATGTAACAAATTTGCTCTTTTTACAGAAGGAGAATACTTGTTGGCATGAGCAAAAATCTAGTGCCATAAGTCCAATGAGAGTGAAAAGGTATTTTTGAATGTGTTGTACGTACACTACCTTATATGTTCTCTACAATTGCTTTGAAATAACGGGTTTTTTCAAGCAATTGTAGGAAACATATTTATATCAAGTCGATGTTCTTTTTGTGTAAATATAAAAGTTGAAAAGTACGCCTTTCTACTTCTTTTGTATGCATCATGCATCTTACCTCATAGTCTACTGAAAATGTCCGAAAATTTAAGGGTAGAAAGGAACAATTGCGTTGAAGGGCCACAAAGTGCCCCCTAATTTGTTTTGAGATCCGACCAAGAATGCACCTTTTCTTGTTTTTTTTTTTTAAATTTGAAGTACCTATTAGAATAACTGAAAAACCAAAAAAAAACGGAATTTTGTTTTTGAGCTGTAACTTTTTTATTTTTTGACCAATTTTCTTCTGTCTTGGCTTGTTTGAAAGAGAAATGAACAGACTAACGAATCAGGGTAAAACTTTTGACATTTGAAAAAAATCCAAAATGGCGGACTCCTTCAAAAATTGCCTAGTTTTGGATAGCGCTGGAACTTTTTTGTGACACCCTGTATACATTTTTTGAATAAATTCTTAAAGTTCATCATTTTGCGAACATTTTAAGACCTCGACAGAAAAAATCGGTTGAAAAATAAGTGAAATATTGAATTTTTTGTAATTTGGAATTCCAATTTTTTATATTGACAGTAAAATCTAGGATATGCTATTTCAGCTAGAATTTTTTTTTACTCGACATATTTTTTCTATTTCGGGATTGTTCGAAAGATAAATAGGTAGAATAAGGATTCGAAATGAAGATTTTGGTGATAAAAAATTAAAGATTTCCCAGTTCCTTCAACATAGCCAATTTTGAAAAAGTTAACGATAAGTTTTCTAACAATACGACTAATATTTTTATTTATAAATTTTAAAAAATAACGTAATAGTTATTTAAGTATTAAGGGCGGTAAGTGTCGTTTACCGCCCGAGATTGTTTGAATTCAATATTCGAGGGCGGTTAACGACACTTAACGCCCAAAATACTTATTACGTTTTATGCACGATCGGGCTATTCCAGTTCAAAAACCATCCAATTGACATTTTCAAAAATAGAATTGTCTTCCTCCTATAAAGGCGCGTTCCCAATGAAAAATTGGCAACTTTTGTATTTGCAACGCTTCCAAAAATCACAACTCTTATTTCCATGGTTATCCACCACCGCACATTATCTATAACAATTATTATTATTATTATAGTTGGCTGGACTACTTGTTTCTAATGGTTGGTATGGTTGTTATGGTGCTTCTCAAATTGTTTATTTGTGTTAGTTACGCAAAACTCGCTTTCAAACAATACGGTTGCAAGCTGCAAATACGCTTTTTTGAAATTTAAGGAGAAATATGAGTGAAAATAGTGATAGTGAACTGGAAAATGCTTGGAATATTGGTTGTAACGCTGTGATTCCGGAAAAATCAAGGCAACGGTACGAAAAAACCTTTGAAATCTTTAAGAAGTGGTGCGTTGACAAAAACTGGGCTGTTTCGGAGAAAGTGCTTTTGGCATACTTTGTACACCGAAATCAGAAGTTAAAATCACCTGGAAGCTTATGGGCTGAGTATTCCATGCTGAAGGCGACACTTTTTCTGAAGGAAAATGTTGACATTTCGAAATACGCAACTTTAATTGCCTTTCTGAAAAGAAAAAACGTTGGCCATACACCGAAAAAATCTAAAGTTTTCACAAAGGAGGATTTATACAGGTTTCTAATGGAGGCACCAGATGATAGATACTTGATTTTGAAAGTGAGTTAATTTACCTGTGTTTTTAACAATGCAAAGAATTAATTTGTTGTTTTTTCGTAGATAGGCATGATATTTAGTGTAGCTGGAGCATGCAGAAGGGAGGAATTATGTAATTTGACTTTACAAGACATAGATAATCAGGAAACGTTCATTTTTGTTAAAATACCCAATACAAAAACCAATATTCAAAGGAGTTTCACCATCACTGGTAAAGAAGACCAGCGAGTGGATTATTTGGAGATTTGTAGGAAATATATCGAACTACGACAAAAAACCGCAAAATCAAACAAGTTATTCTTAAAAATTCGAAACGGCTTTTGCACTAATCAAGTTGTAGGAAAGAATACCATAGGAAAATGGCCAGCACAAATTGCCACATTTTTAAATTTGCAAAATCCTTCTCAATACACTGGACATGCTTTTCGCAGAACTTCTGCGACGCTTCTTGCAAATAGCGGCGTAGAAGTATTAGCTCTCAAAAGACATGGAGGTTGGAAATCCTCGACGGTTGCCGAGGGTTATATCGAGGACTCCATAGAGAGCAAATTGAAATTCGCAGACCAAATTTTACACCAAACTCCTTCAACAAGTGGTAAGACTTCGATCCAAACAACATCCAGACAACTAAACGATGAACCTCATCCTGTTTCTCTGATAAATGATACAGAAAATACGGTTGTTCTTGATAAGCACATAAGAAAAGGAGGTGTTGTGATAGATAATTCACATAACTGTATATTTAATTTGTATGTTAACAAAAAATAATAATATTTAAATTCTATTAATATTAAACCTATGTACTATAGTTGTTGAGGTGCATAATAAATTATAATTCTTGTTTTATTTCTATTTCCATAGTTGACAACACGGATTAAATTGAACTAGTGGCCTCCACCAATATTCGAGAGTGTTTGATGACACGAAAATAGCGGGCGGTAAGTTCAACTTACCGCCCGCAAACGCGGGCGGTAAGTAGTACTTACCGCCCGCTCGTGCATAAACATATTTAAGGGGCGATATGCCCTCCGTGGGCCTCAACAACCCATGCTAAACGTCTACGCCAAGAATTGATAGAATTGGCAATGTTACGTTGTTCCAGCAGTTCTCCCCAACACTCAATGATTCGGTTGCGCAGCTCTTCTAAATTATTGAATGTAGCCACATTTCCGTGGACTTTTTCTTCCAAGTCTCCCTATAAAAAATAATCGCAGGGATTCAGATAGGGGCTATTAGGCGGCCAGCGGCCAGTCAACGGGCTCTATAAAATTCGTAACTTACTCTCTTAGATAGTTGATAGTAAAAAAAAATTTAAAGTGATTTAATGCTGAAGCATCCCAAGCAGCGCTTTTACGTCCTAACAACGTCGTTATTGATGTCTTGACATTGTGGCGCGACGTTAAATAGACGACTATACAACCCTTATTTTCACCAAAATGGAGAATCATTTCATGGTTGTAAAGACGTCGCAGGTCACGTGGCTTTACTTATTTTTAACCTATAAGTCAGCATAGACAACCAGATTTGAACGTTTACTAAACGTCGCCAACCATGACTAACCTAAAAACCAATATCAAACCAAATAAAGGACGTTCCAGGTTTAATATATTGCACCGAATTCGCACTTTTGGTTTAATATTGGTGTTATTTTATTTTCCAACTCCTCACAATAATAACAAAATGAATTGGTACCTATAAGAATATTGGGGGACATAAAATGATAATGGCGCCTGGCCTTGTCAACAATAAAATATGTGAAACTAAATATTTAGCTCCTGTAGGTACAAAAATTTCAAACGAAGGCAACTTGTCTGTCAAATATAATTATGATATGCACACAAAACAAACGGGCTCCTATTTTGTTAATATTTCCCAAAAAAAAATAATAAATCTGTAATATACATAATTTTTTATATAGTTTCGATGGGTCAAAAACATCTTTGGGCAAGTCCGATTCACACAAAAAATAATAATTTTGACAAAAGTTCCTTATTAAGGATTGATTTTTCAGATATTATTTTATTTTTATTGCACGTGCAGCAATGGCGGATGATTAGATAGGATCTTGCGATATATAAAATGGTCGAGTTAATAATCTGAACCTTATCCTAACCTGATGCGTGTTTTCGTCATGAAAATGGACCTAATCTATATAAACATAGGACCATATAGGTCATAAAATAGTACAAACATATAAACCTAGATTGACTATAGGTCCCATATGGCAACCTATCGTAACCAGTTCTTTAGGTGCTTCAATGGCATGTAATATTGACAGTTGAGTTGAAGAGGGTGCTTCTGTAGTTGGAGCTCTTTAAATTTTGGCGCTAGAATAATCGAATGTAATTTTAACTTCAAAAGTCAAGTTTGATGTGTGGTTTCAAGACAAGCTTACGCTAACACTTTTAGAAATATTCTTTAAGGGCCACTGAACGTTTTGGAGGATATTTTTACTTATTCACTGTTCATTGTTCATATGTAGTCATATTTCCTTCTACTCATTACAACGGTTTAAAACTATTGACATTAACAGCCAAAATTTGAAGCACTCCAAGTTCACTCGCGCCCTCTACAAAGTTTTGGGGAACTGAACTAGTTATTTGCTGCCATTAAAGCTCTCGTTTATTTGGAATTTTTCAGGAAACTGTAAATGTTTATTTTTGATGTTCTTCAAAATCTTGAAATATTTCCTTTTAACCCGACATTTATTGAATCTTTTTTAATTTCCTATTTGCAAATTACAGGATTCTCTTCCAATTTCCCTTCTTGTTCCATTTCCTTCATATTTGGAATACACTTCTTCCTTTTCACTAAATCTAAAAAAAAAATCTTCTTCTGTAATATGTGGATGAGTTTTTGAAGCTCCTGTTTTGTCCCGTATCATATCAAAAATATAAAAGAAAATACTTATTCAAATTGCTAAGAACTTTTTATAGTAACGCCATATCTATTGTTTGTTTATGTTTTTATTTGACTGATGACAGTTTATCAACGAACGACGCAAAAAGTATGAAATGCTACACCAAATTTTACCTGTGTCCTATTTTAACGTTGGCCGGACGTTTTTCTAATACCTCTATCTGACCTTATGATTGGTCGTGTCAGACAACGTTTTTAAAACGTTTTAGTGGTCACAGGATATGAAGATAACGACGGATTGACGTCTTCATTGCAACGTTGAATTTGGTACAATATTATGACGTCCATTTCACGATTTTTATCTCACATTGTGATTGGTCGTATTAGACGACGTTTAAAAAACGTTTCAGAGGTCACATGTATACAAGAGGACGACGGATTGACGTTATCAATTTAACGTTAAAACTGGTTTTCATTTATTACGTCAAAATTGAGCTAGATAAAGGTCCGATTTCTTGACCACATATTAGGGACGACGGCACGACGTAATTTTAACGAAAAATCATTGACGGACACCTATCTGCACTTCGGGCGACGTTGTATTTGGTTAATACGTAGTCGCAGGGACATGTATGTGCTACTTGGGATGTTTTAAAAGGGACTACACTTTTAAACTGTCCTACTTAATAGAATTAGGCCCCGTACTGAAATCTGGAAAATTTGGTTCAGTGATGGGAAAATTTCACCTTATCTGGAGTAAAGAATTCGCAAAACGACCAACTACGAATTTCCCTCCAAGCTCGCAAAGCAGATAAAGGAAGAGAAAAATTCAGTAGTTATTTAGTGGTATCTATCTGCAGCAATTTCTCAAAGCCACAAAGCACAACTAATTGTTATCGACCAAGGAGTTCGCTTGGATTCACGCAAGTATTGTCAGCTTGTGTTCGTCATATGCTATCCGAAGTCAAGGTTGAGAGAAGTAGGTTGCCTGATAACTTTTATGACGTCATCTGTATGCCTGAACATAATGCAAATCTCCGTAAGATGCGTCATCAAGTGACCCATTACCAAACAACCTGTTAACTTTAGGAACCTTGATCCAAAATTGAACAGCTCACCCCTCAAGAGTACACTTTTATACATTTATTGTTCAGATTTTGGTTCTCACAAAAACTTTGATGAAATTGTACGTTTTTGTATTTCTCTTCTTATGAAATAAAAGTGATAATATACTGTTTGTATATAAGATGGAGCTAGGTGACATAATAGCCGCTTTACTATCAACTATCTAAGAGAGCAAGTTGCGGATTTTATAAAGCTCGTTGACTGGCCGCCTAATAGCCCAGATTTGAATTCTTGCGATTACTTTTTATGAGGGGTATTTGAAAGAAAAAGTCCATGGAAATGGGGCTACGTTCAATAATTTAGGAGAGTTGCGCAACCGAATTATTGAGTGTTGGGGAGAACTGCTGGATCAACGTAACATTGTCAATTCTATCGATTCTTGGCGTAGATGTTTAGCATGAGTTATTGAGGCCTACGGAAGGCATATCGCCTCTTGCCCCTTAAATGTATTCACTTTATTTTTTAAAATTTATAAATAAAAATATTAGTCGTATTGTTAGAAAACTTATCGTTATTTCTCAAAATTGGCTATGTTAAAGAAACAGGAAAATCTTAAATTTTTTCTCACCATTCAAAATCTTTATTTCGAATAATTATCCTACCTATTTATTTTTCGAACAAGCCCGAAATAGAAAAAATATGTCGAGTAAAAAAAAAATCTAGCTGAAATAGCATATCCTAGATTTTGCTGTCAATATAAAAAATTGAAATTCCATATCACAGAAAATTCAATATTTCACTTAGTTTTCAACC